CATTAAAAAAAAAACAAAAACAAAAATCAGCTGAGTAAATCTAATTGGCTTTATGAAACAATACCTGAATCAGCAGCATCTCACCTAGGAAAAAGAGAGACACTCAGAGGACTTATAAAAAAATGGAAGCCTTTTACAGAAAGTGTTAGAAAAGGTCCTAGTCTTTTCTGTCAAAGACAGCAAATTTAAAAACATTCTTCCTCATTATTGTCTAGTAGTTTCTCATTTTAAAGCGTACCTTACCTTGTATCTAGGCAGATCTTGCTTTTCTATTAGCCAGTCGATTTACATTGTAAGGTCACGCTCGCCCTAGCCAACAGAGGACGACATAGTGGAACCCGCCTTAGGGATAAAAGCTGAGCGGACTTTGTGCTCAGTGTGCTTGCTAAACCGACTCACGGTGGCTCCACACCCTTTTGCAGAAGTAAAGTTTGCCTTGCCGAGTTACTTTCGACTTCATGTGTCTTTATTTGCAACACGGTTAAATTCTATTCTCGACAAAAGGAGGATGGGGCAAGGACTCATTAGAAAATAAAAATGCAAGTTCCTTGGAGGAAAGTAGGAGCTGTGGGTGACAACAGGTTCTCATTGGCAGAGCTGCTCTTTTTCCACTGACTGGGCTTGTTGGTGGGCAAGAAGAAAACCTCCCTTCCTCCTACAGGGTAGTCAAGTAGAAACACCTTTCTGTAAGAGAGGGCAAGGTAGTCTCTCCCAGGTTGAGGTAACTGAGAAGAGTGATAGGGTGTGAGAGCTCCCTCTAGAGACCTTCCTGACTCCAATCTTAGTTGAGATTTCCTTCATTAATTCTCACAATTCATTGCTTTCACCTGATTCATGACCTTAAAAAGCCTTAACCAAGAAGGCTTAGAACCCATGACCTATTCAGTACAAAGTTCTCCAAGAGTAAAAAAGTCGTGTGGGCTTCCAGCACCCTCTGGGGGAGTCAACCAAAAATTCTAGTGTCCACTGAGTGCAGAACTATGGGGGTACAAATGTATTAGCAACTCTTTGGAAGGAAATAAACTACACACGGAAACCGGGGAACGCTAAGAGCATTTTAGCTTATAATTCAGCTTATTTATTACAGCTTGCTGAGGTTTCCAGGCCACCATTAATGAGGACAGAGAGCCCGTTTGCAGGTTTGAATGCCTGTATGCATATGAGGGTGGAGGGAGGAATGGTTCAACTTGTTTTTCATCAAAAGGGGGTTATATGATCTTATAGCGAACTTCCATCACTACTACCCATAATTTTCTAGTTATTTTACCATCCATTGATTCTTTTCTTCCAGTAGCTCTGACGACCGAAAGCAAAACTGAAACACGGAAGGAGAGAGCAAAAAAAAAAGGAAAAAAAAGAAAGCACCAGAGGAAGCCAAGCGCCAGTCTTTCGTCCTGCGGTCCCTTTAAGAGAAGAACCTCTTGGGACCGGCAGTCCCAACCGACCCCAGTTTTAACCGAAACCTAACCCGGACTTCCCCCTCTTGACTCAAATAAGACCAACTTTGGATTTTCCCTCCCCTATTGACCAATCAGATTCTGTTACCAGGCAGACTTCATCTGCGCCCGAGTGAGCCCCGCGCCTTCTGTCTCCGGGTGGCAGCGACGACCAATGGTAGAGCAGGCCATCCGAGTATCTAGGCAGATCGGGGCTGTTCCAGCCATTCAGGAAAAAGAAAATAAAGCAACGCACGAGCCCGCTGGGCCAGGACCGTGGGGCTGGGCTGGAGTGAAGGTGGCTACGAGGTAGTTTCTCTTTCTCCCTTTCCTTTATTGTTGCTTGTGTGGGAAGGCGACTGTTCAAAGGTAGGGAGGGGGCACTATGAGTTGGGAGGAGAGCAGAAAAAGATTTTAGCTGTATTTTCAACAGCTTCTTCACCCATGTGCACGTGCCCCGAATCTGGGACCTCATTCCCCCCACCGGGTCTCCTACGCCCAGCCCAGGAGTTCCGCTACCCTCAACCCCCTCCTCTGCAGCAACCGGGGATTGAATGGAGGGGGAAGGGCGGGAGGTGGGGGCGCGCATCAGGATGGGATGTTGAGGGAGATGACGTAGGGGCCGGCGGCGAGGGAAGCCGTGGCGAGGTTGAGTAATGAGAACTTGGGCCCGGTGTTTTCCAAGCCTGGAAGGGCAGAGTACGTTCGTATCCTTTCTGACCTCCCAGGCAAATTCAGTGGTGAGGAGTATATTAGAGAATGAGACAACTTTGTTCTGTGGTGGTTATTGTTGTTTTTGAGGGAGAAGAGGGAAGTATGGGGTCAGAGGCAGAAATGAACATTTCTTTCGAACATGGATCCCCAATCCCTCTAGCTCTTCCTTCATAGCTTTTCACATTTAGGAGACAGACTGCAAAAAGGTGGGGCAGATAGAGTGGAGATGGCAAAGACCTTTAGGGATATTATATATGTATATATATGTATATATATACAGAGAGAGAGAGAGAGAGGAGAGAGAGAGAGAGAGAGAGAGAGAGAGAGAGAGGCAATGGAATAATTTCTAATTTTGGACAAGGCAAGTGATGAGAAAAAGACCACTGGAGAAATTTGGAGGCTTTCTTTCTGTTTCTCCATCTTGCTGAGTAGAGAGATGAGGAGTGCCCTGGGGTCTCTGGGGGAAGGAAAGTTAAATCTTGTCTTATTTCCTGTCACTCTAGCCCTCATGCCGGGATGGCAGAAGATGAACCCGAAGCTAAGAGCCCAAAGACTGGGGGTAGGGCCCCCTCCCGGAGTGCTGAGGCCGGGGAGCCTACCACCCTTCTCCAGAGGCTCCGAGGTAACATTTCGTAAGTACTCATCACCACCTCCAAGTCTTGTTCCAGACCTAGGCGTAGATCCCTGTAGCCCCTCACTTCCTCTGTAGATGGACTGCCTCTCCCCGGGCAAGTGCATCTGACCAGGGGGAGATTCTTGACACGGTAGCAGTTCTTGAGCACCTGGTAGGCATTTCAGCCCTCTTCCCGTCCTGAGTAATCAGACCAGGAGTGGGCAAAACTTGTGTCTGACCTCCAGCTTTCTTCTCTCCTCCACAGTAAGGCCGTGCAGAACAAAGTAGAGGGAATCCTGGTGAGTATTTTGGGGAAGAGGGCAACAGAGAGATGGAGTCGGTGAGGGATGAGCATGATGAGGATATGAATAATTAAAAGGTTTCGGGAGAGGCAGTGTTGTCTGCCCTGTCGGAAGACAGTTGGCTTTGCGACTTGCTACCAGTTTGACCTTGAGCATCTCACTTCATGTCCCTGTGACCTCTGCTCCCCCTGTCAACATGGTGTCCCCTAAGGGCCTCTAAGAGCACAGTGAGTGAGCACCCAGCCTCAAATCCTTCTAAGGTCCTTTTACAAAGTCTGACAGTCTCTAAGTCAGCTAGACTTTTTGGTAAAGACCAGCGGGTCTCACTTTGTATCCTTCTTGGCCTTATTGTTTCTCCTGCCTCTGTTCTCCCCACCTCAGCAAGATGTACAGAAATTCTCAGACAATGACAAGCTGTATCTCTACCTTCAGCTCCCCTCAGGGCCCAGTACTGGAGACAAAAGGTAGGTTTGGTGCTAGACTTTCAGATGTCAGAGGATCTGATTCTTAAAAGCTCACGAGGGGAAAGGGCGGGGTGAATAGGGAGACTCAGAAGGGCTGTCCTTGAGCAAGAAGGACGGTCCCTGTCGGCACTGGTTTACCAGGGAGAGGTGGATTCTGGGTGAAATAGTTTGGGCCAGCACTACTGAAGTGGTAGCCTGGATAGAACCAGGACAACTGTTGGGCTCTCAGTAATGCTTTTCTTACTTCTCTTGCAGCTCAGAGCCCAGTACACTCAGCAATGAGGAGTACATGTACGCCTATAGGTGGATCCGTAACCACCTAGAAGAGCATACTGATACCTGTCTGCCAAAGCAAAGCGTTTACGATGCCTATCGGTGGGTGCACGGGGGAATAGCAGGGTGGGTTGGTGGGCATAGGACTATCCCCTTGTCCCTGGAGAACTCCCTGCCATGGAAGAGCTTGAGTTCTTAAAGACTCCCCAGCTTGATCCGCAGGGGCCCTCTGAACCCACCCATGACCTCCTCCTCTGAGTATCTTCCCATCTGCCCCCCCAACTCACTCAGGAAGTACTGTGAGAGCCTTGCCTGTTGCCGCCCACTCAGCACAGCCAACTTTGGCAAAATCATCAGAGAGATCTTCCCTGACATCAAGGCCCGAAGGCTTGGTGGCCGGGGCCAGTCCAAGTATCCTTGACTGGAGAGGTTGGGGCTGGAGGACATGGGGAGGAAAACTTATGGATGTGGAGAGCCAGGAGTGGAAACAGCCTAACCTCCCCAACGGGCTTGGAAACCCCATGTGTGGGCTGCTCCTTAACTTGCATCAGATATTGCTACAGTGGCATACGAAGAAAGACCTTGGTATCTATGCCACCCTTGCCTGGCCTTGACCTAAAGGGCTCTGAGAGTGTAAGTAACAAACAACCCTCTGATTGCACTCTTTTCTCCAAGGTAGAAGTCAGAGGTCTTTGGGACATGTTTTCAGGGCGGACACAGCCTAGGTCATTCTGCACATATCTTCTGGGTATATAGGATATGTCCTTCTGCCCACCCTATGGCTGAGGCAGAGGACGAAGGGAATATGTGGGTTTCTGGGACGGGATGGTACAGGTTACTCCCACCCCCAGTCTGGTCTTACTGTGGCCAACATGGGTGTTCGAGAGGGGCCAAGGGTCCTTTAGTTTGGAGTGTGATGGAGCACATCCTTCCCCATTTCAGCCCGAGATGGGCCCAGAGGTAACCCCAGCACCTCGGGATGAACTGGTTGAGGCAGCCTGTGCCCTGACCTGTGACTGGGCAGAGCGAATCCTGAAACGGTCCTTCAGTTCCATCGTTGAGGTCGCCCGCTTCCTGCTGCAGCAGCATCTCATCTCGGCCCGATCTTCACATGCCCACGTGCTCAAGGCCATGGGGCTTGCTGGTGGGTGGACCCCCTCTCTGTCCAAGAAACCCTCAGGCTTCAACTTCAAAGGCCCCCAAACATAGGAGGAGAGAGGACCTTGGATTTGCCTTCTGTTCCTAGAGATCCTTCTAGAACATGCCTTAGACTAAGCACCTTCTTTCCCTGCCTCTACCAGTCAGTCAGAATCGCCCCATTTCTGCGTCCCGTTTCCTCCTCACCTTACTACTTGTTCTGACACTTCTGCAGAAGAGGATGAACATGCCCCTCGGGAACGGTCATCGAAATCTAAGAATGGTGTTGAGAACCTAGAGGGTGGAGCCCATAAGAAACCAGAGAGACCAGCCCAGGTAAGGAAGTCAGTGGCCCTGGCCTTGCTGCCCTGGGCTGCGGGCTCCACGTACCCTCTGCCCACGGGTCCTGTACTTTTTCACCTCCAGTGTCCAGTCTTCCTGTTCACTGTGTCCTCTCTTTACCTCTCAGCCTCCTCAGGAGCAGGAACCCCGGGCTGGGGCTGGCCCCCCAGCACGCGCAGAGCGGAAGAAGAATGTAGTGGAGAGCCCGGCCCCCGCAGCCAGTAACCCGCAGGTTAATGCCCTGGTGGCCCGGCTGCCTCTGCTCCTCCCCCGGGCCCCTCGCTCGCTTATTCCGCCAATCCACGTCTCTCCATCCATCCTGGCCCCCAAGCTTTCTCCAGGAGCTCTGAAATTGGCTACGCTGCCTCTGCCCAGTAGGGCCAGGGGACCCCAGGCAGCCGTACCCATCATTAATATGATCTTACCAACTGTTCCTGCTTTGCCTGGACCTGGACCTGGGCAAGCTCCACCTGGGGGGCTCTCTCAGCTACTGGGCACAGAGAATAGGGAGGTAGGCATAGGGGGTGACCCAGGACCCCATGACAAGGGTGTCAAGAGGACAGCGGAAGTACCTGTGAGTGAGGCCAATGGGCAAGACCCACCCGCTAAAGCAGCAAAGCAGGATATAGAGGATACAGGAAGTGATGCCAAAAGAAAACGGGGGCGCCCTCGAAAAAAATCAGGTGGAAGTAGGGAAAGGCATTGTACCCCTGACAAGGCAGCAGCTGCCGTGGACTCTGCCCAGGCCCCAAGGTTACCGCGGGAGACATTGGCCTCTGGAGGGTCAGAGAGGCCAGGGACAATGGGAGAGGCTGAGAAGGGGGTGGTGTTTGCCCAAGGTCAGGAAGATGGTGCTGTGTCCAAAGGAGGAAGGGGCCCCAGCTCCCGCCATGCCAAAGGAGGAGAAGATAAAATTCCTCTTGTCACCACAAAAGTGAGTGTCATCAAGGGCGGTAGAAGCCAAAAGGAGGCTCTTCACTTGGTCAGGGGAGAGGCAGACACTGCAGCACAGGGTAATAAAGACTTAAAGGGGCACGTGCTTCAAAGTGCCTCGTCCCATGAGCAGAAAGACCCCAAAGCGACACCCCCGTGATAGGTATGTGGGGAAGCATGTTATGTTCAGGTGCGAACTCTACCTGATTGCCCATACAGGTCCCTGTCCGCACTCGCTTCTCTGGCTCTTGTTTTCTGAAGGGAATTCACGCTGTTCTGTATAGACAGCTGAAGTTCCCTTTCTTAACACAGTGCCTGCTTCCTGCCTCTGACCTTTGCAGCTCAGTCCCCTTGGCTTCAGAGTCACTAATAAATCTGTAGGGACCTCCTTACCTGGATCCCTGTGCTACCCTACCCTGGGGGAAGATAGGGATGGATGGAGTGTGATGAATAGTTAGGTTAGGAATCTTTGGGTTTTAAACCATAGAAAGCCTAACTCAAGCTGGCTTAATAAAGATCTGTTGGCTCATGTAAATGGAAAGTCCAGAGGTAATGCTGGCTCCAGGTGCAGCTGATCAGTGGCTCTGTATGTCTAAATGCCCGAGTGACTTTTCCACCCCCGCTGTTCTCTGCTCTACCTTCCGTCTGTAGGATCACCTTCAGCCTGGCCCGACTTGGAGCTGCCAGCACTCCTAGAATTACCTGTCTGCTCACTTATGTCCAGACAGAAACAGGGCATTTCTGTGCCAGGAATCCTAGCAAAAACCCTATGATTCACTATATTAAGGCAAGCTCGAGTCACGTGTCCACCCCTAGCCAATCCCTGTGGCCAGGGGGTGGTATATGCTAATTTGCTTACTCAACATCCTGAACTGCACCTGTGGAAAAGACGGACTCAGCATCCACTGCTAGGAAGCTCATGGGGTTTTAGCTTGCTAGGTGGAGATCAGCCATACCTGCTTTTTTTCCCTCAGAGCCTTGACATTTTCCTTAATGCAGCTGTAACCTCTTTCCTCTTATTGTGGTCTCAGAAGGAATGAGAGGGAAGTCACCCTCCTTTAGGGGCTATCTCTTTAGTCCCATTTAGATGAGTCTCTTATTTTCACCTATGTCTCGGAGATGGGGCTCCTTTTCCTGCTTCTGAATTTTCCTTTCCCCTCATTTCAGCTTCCCTATCTCCCTCCCACCCTACTGCCACTTTCACCAAATTGAGGGAAAGATTTACTTCGTCATTTTATTAAATTCATTCTGCACCCACCAGGTGTCAGTCTCTTGTCATACATGTGTCAGGACTAGCCAGGACTGTGGGGTTTAGGCTAGCCAGACGGAAGGAGGTGGCTCTGTGCATGGGGAGCACCGATGGAGAGGCAATCCAGACTCTCCAGGTGCATCCTGGGAAAAGCAGTAAACCAGCCAGCGTTGGCTGAAGACACTTTGTCTTCTGCCTCTAAGGTAGCTTCTGTCAGGGAATCTTGGTTCTTCCCAAGAAAGACAGATTTTCTTTCAGGGAGACTTGTTCATTTAGTTGTGCTACCGCAGATTTTTAAAAGTTATATGTAATGTTTGATATCTATAAAGAATGTATTTAACATAAATAAATTATGAAGCCTAATAATTAAATGACTACCTATGATTCATCACCCAACTTATGCATTAACACATTAGAAATACCATTGCCTTTCTTGGGTTCCTCCCTATCCTATCCCCTGCCTTTCCCTAGAGGTAACTACTGTCCTTAATTTTGTGTTTCTTAATTACCTACTATATATATATATAGAGAGAGAGAGAGAGAGTTAACTATATGTGTATATATATCCTTCTTAAATCTTTTCAGTGTTGCTTTTTAGCTTTGCACAAATTTTGTACTCTAATAGTACCGTTGTTTGCTTTTCTCACGTAACATTATTTCTGAGGTTCATCCACATTGTTGTAGGTAGCTATGATTCGTTCATTTTCATCTGTATGATATTTCATCAAGTGCGTAATCCACAAGTTATTTATCCATTCACCTATCAATGGACATTGGGGTGTTTCCAATTTTTCGCTATTACAAACAATGCTGCTATGAACATTCTTGTACATGTTAGTGCCTTTGTTTTCAGTAAGATTTCTGAAAAGTTTTCTAAGATGGTCCTTTTGGTCTATACACCCTCTGAGTTGGGGACTGTTCCCTCTGTCTGATTCTCTGGAATTGTTTACCTCAGATTGAAAGAAATCATTCCTTGTAAGTTTGGTAAAGCTTATCTGTTAAGCCATCTGAGCCTGGCATTTCTTTGTGGTAAAAAATTTTAACTATTCTATTCAATCATGGCTACTGGGGCTTTCTATTTCTTCCTGAGTCAGTTTAGGTAAAGTGTTTTTCTAGGCTTTTGTATATTTTGTCTTTTTTTTTTTAATGAAATTTTTTTTTTTTTTTACCTCTCCTCTGGGTAGTCACACCCTCCTTTTCATTTCTACTGTTTACTTGTGCTTTCTTTTTTCCCCCTTGATCACTTGCACCAGAAATTTGTTATTTTACTTGTCTCTCTTCAGTTACTACTTTGGGCTTTGCTGATCCTCTCCCTTATATATTTGTTTTCCATTTCATTAATTATGGGTCTTATCTATAGTATTTCTTCTGGTTGGTTTAGATTTCACTTTATGTTGTTTTACAACATCAATTTTGACACCTATCTACTTAGTTTTCAAGCTGTCTTTTCTATTGTGAGTTTTTAAGGACCTGCTTCTCTACATTCCCCAAGTTTTTCTGTTGTAAAGCATTTAAATTATTTAGTTCTAAGAATATTTACCGTATGATTTTTTTTTTGATTCATGATTTAGAAAAGTTTTATAAATTTCCAAATGTCTGGATATTTAAAATTTTATCTTTTTGATATTGATTTTCAGCTTAATCATTTGTGCTCAGAGAATGTGGTCTCTGTGATACCAGTTCTTTGAAATTTGTTGGGATTGTTCTTTTACATTCTGTAACTTATCTTAGATGTCCATATCTGTTTTGTTGTTGCCCGTGGTAGTTTGTTTGCTTGTGTATTTTGTATTTGGGGGTTTTGAGCTCATATTTTGTTAAACTTAATCTATGGGAATCCAGAGGGCCTAAGCTGGGGGTACCTTGCTTCTGCCAGGAGCCAAAGGGTGCTCCTGACTTGGGACTGTGTTAGCCCCTTCAAGAGCCCTGGCTTAATTCAGGAGGCCCAGGTTTCTCCCATTCCTTGGCTAGGCCCAAAGTTTAGCCTCTGATCACAATACTGATGTTGGCATTTGTCCCCAGGGCAAACCTGCTTTTTCTACTTCATGTTGCTCGTCCTTCGTGTAGGTTTCAGCTTCATGTTATTTTTTCTTCCTTTTGTGATTTCTCTTACTTTCTAGCAAGCCCAGCAACATGCTCAATATCATGTCTGCTGTAATCTGTCCAGGATCTAGTTGTATTTTAATGGGACAGTCCTTTCCCGTATCTATGCTGCCAGAAGTAGGAGTCCACTATTGTGGTTTGGAGCTTTTCCTTCTTGCATTTTAAGCGCTAGGCACTTGTTAGAAGCTCGTTGGCTTAGGCCCTGCCTTCCAGTCAGGAATGATGGCAGCACAGTGTGACTTACATTAGCAGTTAAGTACAGAGCTGTGGCAGCCCAGAAGATTAGCACATAGGTCAGACGGGAATCAGGGCTGACTTCCCAGTAGAAATGAGTAGGCGTTAGCTGGACAAGTCTAACTCATAAAGCAAGAACAGGACAATGTAAGACATGGTAAAAAGACTTAAATCTTGATACTCACTCAATTGCATAGGAGCTGAATGTACATTCAGAGAGCTCACTTTGGGCAGAGAGAGGAGGGCATTCCAGGAAAAGCAGGGGTCTGGGGATGTGGGATGTGAAAACAGGGATGGCGGTACAACCCAGTAAAGAGACTTGTCAGGCAGAAAGGAGATGTGAGTGACTACTGGTGAGAAATAAACTAGAAGAAGAGCACATGACCATTATAGTTATCTGTTGACTGAATGAATGTATGAAAGGTATAACAATTGCATTAGAGGATGGAGAAACTGGAGTAAAGAGGAATCAGTCAGGCAGCTGTTGCCATTATCCATGTAGGAGGAGAGGAGGGACTAGACCAGGCTGCTGACACAGTGGACGTGACGGGCATATGGGAAAATAAACCACTGAGGATAGAATAGATAGAAGCATCCAAGGAAATATTGTCCTCACTGTGATTGGGTCTGGGGATGTCTCCATTCACTTGGGGAGAACAGGGCACTGGATGACTTTGAGATTTACGTGAATGTTACGGTGTTTTTAAGTAGTCTGTTAAAAAACTTACTCTATTTTAAAAATCTAACATGAAACAAGGTATGATATAGTTCAGGCAATCTTTAGCTCATTGGATGACGGACTAAACTAGGATTTTGGGGACTGTCTACTGCTCCTCTACCATTCCTTATTCTCTCCCCAGTACCTTGCTCCCCACTCCCATTAACTCCCTCTCCCCCCGTGTCTTCTTTCATTTTAGCCCTATCATAAATGAAGTTAAAGATAATTTATAATTTACTAAAATTTGAAATAATATTTTGCTATTAAACCAAGACAAACTCTATGTCTAGTCTGTGGTCCCAAATAAATGAATGTATTGCTTATTTTTGTGGATAACAATCAACTTTCTTTAAAATCAAAGCAAATGCCACATTCATGCATATTAAATGGGCAAATTAATGTCACTAAATATTTGTTTTATCTCATGTTATAGTTCCTAGTAGGTCTGCTTCTTTGTTTAGGATCATCTTGCTGGCTCCATCCTATGAGATAAAGCTAAGCATAACATACACGTAATGCAGTATTTCTTAAATGTTCATAAGGAGGCCTTTGTTTATTGGAAAGAGCATGAATTCAGTTTCAGTCTTAGCTTTACCACTTTCCATATGATTCTGAACCTGTATTTAGTCCAGTTTTTTTTTTCAAACTGTAGATTGCAACCCCTTAACAGGTTGTGAAACTGATTTAGCAAGATGCAAAACTGTTTTTAAAAAGTGAAACATAGGGCCAGCCGAGTGGCACATTGGTTAAGAACTGGCTTGGGATGTCAGAGGGCCCCGGTTCGGATCCCACATATGCGGGCCAGTGACACTGCCCTCTACAGCTAAGATGCTGAACAACAGCTCGACCTGGAGCTGGGCAGCCATGAGTCGCCGGCGACAGCGTAGGCTGCAGCCCCTATGGCAGTGGGTTGCCATGGGCCGGCAGCCAGCATGAGCGGCCAGCAGCCGCCGTGAGCGGCCGTCCAGAGACCGGCAACTGATCTGCCTCGCCCGGGAAGAGCGCAATGATGGTGCCAACTTGGGCCAGTGAAGCAACATCCTCCACAACTAGAATGAAGAACAAAACGACAGCAACTTGTCTGTTCCCCTTCCCCCGATTCCCCAGCGCTGTTCACCACCCTCAACTCCCCAATAAAATCTTTAAAAAAAAAAAAAGTGAAACATAATAGAAAATACCAGTTCATTGCATATAATAAGGGTAAGTATTGTTTCACGAAAACTTACCTCAGTGAAGACGTCTATGTGTTCTTCAGTGGTCATGACATAAAAGGCATTTCTTATTGTGGGTTGAAGTAAAACAATTTGAAAGACAATGACTTACCATTCTGAGCTCAGTTTCCATAAAATGGGATAAAATCTCTTTCACGGGGTTAAATGAAGTAATGTTTGTACGAGGTGTGATCAACCAATACAGTGAATGTTTAAATTTAAAAAAAAATTATTACATTGCCATTAATACTCCTCAAAATACTCCCCCTTGCTTCAAACACACTTATCCCATCATTCTTGCCACTTTCTGAAGCAGTTCTGGAGTCCTCTTTCGTGAGTGTCTTTAGTTGCGCTGTTGTAGCCTCAATGTCCTGAATCATTTTGACTTTGGGGAAGAGCCAGAAGTCGCATGGTGCCAGATCTGGTGAATAAGGTGGGTGAGGACACACCGTAGTGTTTTTATTTGACAGAAATTGCCGTATCAGAAGTGGTGTGTGACACAGAGCATGGTCATGATGGAGGATGATTTACAGCACACTTTAAAATACACCTGCTCTCAACTGTAGCTAACACCCAACTGACTGCACCGAACGAGTTGAAACTTGTGACACACTGTTACTAAGGTTCCACGCGCCGCCCGCTTCCTGTACTGAAGATCCCTGCCTTTCCGTTGGATGGCACTTGGCAGCAGCATTCACAGTATTTTGTGATCACAACAGAATGGCTCCATGTCACACATCACTTCTGGTATGCGGCAATTTCTGTCAAATAAAAACTTTACAGTGTGTCCTCATCCACCTTATTCACTGGATCTGGCACCATGCGACTTCTGGCTCTTCCCCAAAGTCAAAATGACCATGAAAGATAAACGTTTTGAATCCATTCAGGACATCAAGGCAGTCACAACAGCTCAACTAAAGACACGAAAGAGGACTTACGGAACTGCTTCAGAAAGTGGCAAGAACGATGGGATAAGTGTGTTCGAAGAAAGGGAGACTATTCTGAGGGGGGTTAGTGGCAATGTGTTTTACTGTAATAATTTTTTTTTAATTTAAACATTCACCGTATTGTATAATCACACCTCATGTTCATACGCAGTAGGAGCTTGAGTAATAACTTCTAGTTTCCTTTTTCTAATTTTAAAAAAAGCCCATAATACATGGTTCAGGGGGAAGAAAACCACTTTTTATAATTTCTTTAACCACAGGGATGTTTAAAATATAACGAGCTGTATCTGATCTGGGTCCTCTGGTTTACCAGCTTTTGATGCATAAGCCAACTTCTTTCTCCAAATTGATCAAATATAAATAAGATAAATGACATTACCTGACCCTGTTAGTTACTTCCCTGGTGCTATATCAACAAAATAAACTTTTTCCTGTGGCAGAAACTAAAGATACAGCTAGAATCCAAAGATGAATACTTGGGCCGGCAGAGTGGTTTGTTGGTTAAGGGTTGGCTTGGGACGCCAGCTCTGAGCAGCAGAGCCGCTAGTTCAGATCCCACATGGGTCAGTGACGCTGCGCCCTCTACATCTAAGTTGGTGAATAACAGCTCAACCTGGAGCTGGGCTGCCATAAGTCGCCGGCGACAGTGTAGGCTGCAGTGGGCTGCTGTAAGCTACCGTGAGTGACCAGCAGCCAGCATGAGTGGCCGGCAGCTGCCGTGAGCGGCTGTCCAATGGCCGGCGACCGATCTGCCTCAGCCAGGAAGAGCGCAATGATAATACCAACATGAGCCAGTAAAGCAACGTCCTCCACAACTAGACGGAAGAACAAAAGGACAGCTACTTGTCTGTTCCCCTTCCCCAATTCCCCAACGCTGTTCCCTCCCCTAATTCCCCAATAAAATCTTAAAAAAAAAAAAAGATGAATCCTTACCTGCCTTGAGCTCAGACTAGAGTGCTTTGGAGACTCATAGAAACAGAGGGTAACCAAAAAAATCCCAAAACTTAAGTGAGAAAGACAAAGTCATAAAGACATGCAAAGAAATTTAAACATATGAACTCTTAGAGATAGAAACACAACACTTGAAAGAAACTCTTCTACTTAATACTCTGTGTGTGCATGGAGGGGGGCCTCTTCACAAAGGACTTATGTAACTGCCTATAGCTATAAAAAAATTGCTACTTAAAGTTTGAACAGAGATGTTCCTGAAATGTTTTATTTTATTTTTTTATTTTTGTCATTGGAAAATAAACTTCCTACTGTAAAAAGTAGGGCTGTCACATCTCTTTTTACAATGTTTCAAAAAGCTGGTCTTATGGCCCTTTGGAACCCTACCTGTGGAGGGGATGTTTGGGCAACATTTTAAACTAGGCTAAAGCAGGGCCATCACCTCTTGATACTTGCCTGACAGCTGATTGGGAGCTGGCCAAGAGCTGCTGGTCCTAACAGGTGGACTAATGATTCCCCACTCCAGACCAGTGGTGACAAATTTAAAGGATCTTTGGCACTCTCAGCCTCTTTCTCGGCTCATCTTTCATTACTGTACTCCTGCGTGAACCTAGCTTATCAGCTTGCCCTCTCCTCGTGTTTGGAGCAAATCCTCTTCTATTCTTCAGCAGACAGTTTTTTAGCCTTCAGAATGCTCTCACCTCTTTTCTTTAAATATTTTATTTGGGAGTTGGGGGAGGGGAACAGCGTTGGGGAATCGGGGAAGGGGAACAGACAAGTTGCTGTCCTTTTGTTCTTCAGTCTAGTTGTGGAGGACGTTGCTTCACTGGCCCATGTTGGTATTGTGATCATTGTGCTCTTCCCGGGTGAGGCAGTGACTCGCTGGCCATTGGGCGGTGGCTCACAGCAGCCCAGCTCCAGGTCAAGCTGTTGTTCACCATCTTAGCTTTAGAGGGCGCAGCATCACTGGCCCTGCATGTGGGATCCGAACCAGGGCCCTGCTGCTCAGAGCTGGCGTCCCAAGTCAACTCTTAACCAACGCGCCACTCGGCCGGCCCGCTCTCCTCTTCTTTGGTTCTTCTGGATCATATCCAATAAATCTTCTAAGACCCGGCTCACAATATTTTGGAGAAGCCTTCCATTCACTCATTCACCATATACTGAGTGGCTGGAACGTCTGTGTTAATTAATCATACTCCTCTATGTTCCTTCAGCAATTAGGTACCCCATTTGTTCTACTTTTGCATATATCACATGTTTTACACAGGTATTTTCATGCTACTACCTTTCTTCTGCCTCCCAATTAAACACTGAAGCAGTGACCCTCTTTTCATCATCTATCCTATGTTATTGTCCCAATAATAGTAATACAGTACTATACGTAGTACCAATCTGTACTCTTTTAATTCTCACAAAACCCTGTAAAGTGTTAATATTCCTGGGTCCCCTTTTCAGACATAGAAACAGGTGCAAAGAGGTGAAATCAGTTATCCCAAATCAGCCTATAAGTGGCAAGGAAGATGGCCTCGAAAATCTGGGCTCAAATAACTAGCCTCAATGTAAAATATTAAGTAAAGCCCTGTGAAAGTTGGGACAGAGGTTACATTAGGACAGAGGTTCTGACTGAAAGAGCTCCCAATCAATAACGCTAACTGACAAATACACAAACCAATACCAGAGGTCCATTTGCAGGGCGTGTTTTTATTTGTTTAGTTGTACATGGTTTTGTTTGGGAGGAAGGATTGTGCCCTCCAAGCCTTTGTCACTTCACTCACCTCTCCCTACCTGGCCCTGTCCTGCCCCTTCTCGGAGGGATCGACATCCGGAGGCTGGAGGCCAAAGGCTGCCCAGACAGGTGGTGACCTCGGAGGCGGAACCGCGGCCTCGAGTCGCGCTGCTAACGGCGAAAGATTGACGTGGTTGGACCGCGCCATTCCCGGAGCGATAAGGGTCGTAATCTCGGCATCGTCCTTTAAGTGAATAGGAAAAGGGTAGCGAGGGTGACTATCTTCCCCGCCCACTCTCTCTCTCTTTCTCCTCTCCCCGCTGGGCCCCCAACGTCCATTCTACACCGGATTTACTAAGGGAGTCGTGTGGAATAGGGGTGGGGGTAAAGCCACTGACTGCAATTACGGTAACTCTGCTGGTAACTCAAACGGACTCATTTACATATAATATGAATGTACTTATGGAAGTACCCTATATATCTGTGCTTCTCCTCTAACAGGGCACCCACGCCCGCCCATCGCTCTCTGTTGGAGGGCGGGAGCCCCTGTCCCTTATCCAGCAAGTTTTACTTCCCTTTCGGCTTCCTTAGCCTGGCAAGCGCTATCTCTTAGGTCCGCCTCTCAGAGATTGGGCCCGCCCCCACTCGTAGGCTCCGCCCCTCGACCGCTCCTCCCTCCCCTGCTTCCAAACATCTTCCCCGCCCCCTTTTCTATTTCTGAACAGGCATGTTCCAGGCAGCTCACCCGACTCCTTAGATTACTATGGGATCGGTAGGGTCCTGAGCGTCGGAGAAGCAGGAAAGCATATCCCAAGAAGGGCTTGGACTCAGAAGAATCGAGCCCTGCTGGGGATTTTTTTTTCCCTTTTTTCTTTTTGGTCTTGGTTGTGCGGAGGGAGGAAGAGAAGGTTGTGCGGCCCGGGCGAACTTGAGACAGCGCGAAGGCCCCTTCAGGCGGTGCCGAGGGCACCCCCGCAGCCCGGGCCTGGTGCAGCCGCCGCGGCCGCTGTCAGGGAAGCGCAGGCGGCCAATGGAACCCGGGAGCGGCCGCTGCTGCTGAGGCGGCGGTGTCGGCAACCCGACCCCGACCGCCCGCACCCCCTCCGCGGAGGTCCCCCGGAGGTAAGCGACTCCTACCCCGTGAGGCCCCCTTGTGTGGGGGGGGGTCCCTCTCCCGCCGTGTCCCGCACCGCTTCCCCCCGCCCCCACACCTGGATTCGACTACAAAACTGCCCTCCCGGTGGCAGCTGCACCCCGGGTTCCTTCTCCACCGTTTCCATTCAAGCCTGGGGTCCTCCCGTGCTTTTTTTGGCTTCCTCTTCTGCTTAGCTCCTCCCTCTGCCTCGGGGATTCCCCCCCTCCCTCACTCTTATCCCTGCTGCCTCCGTCCCGAATGATTTTTTCTTAAGTCACGAACTCTTTGCACATCAGGACACCTCTTATAACGTCCACCCTTGTTTGTCCTTCCTTGTCGTCTGTGCTCCTGCCCCAAACCTTTCCCATGACCTCCGCCTTTATCGCTTTTCCTATTTTGCTCCTCTCCTCCGATGTCTCTGCACCCTCAGCACAGAGTTCCCATTTCCCTGAGCTCAAGATTGTGGCCCTCTCTCCCTCTGCTGCTTCTGATTCCATTACCTCACCGCCCCCCATCCAGCTCCTGGCTTCCAAGAATTGCCTATTCCCCTCTCCTTAAAGGATCTCATCGTCATTGCCGAAGTATCATTTGCGTTCTACTTTGACTTGAATCCTTGCCCGTCTTCCCTGGAGGGCTTTATGACCCCTGTAACTTTCTTTAGCGTCCTCATTCCCCTTCCTTAGTCCCCCAACCTCTGGAGGTTCGCCCCTGTGGAAGAGAGATCTGACAGCGCCCCTTCCCATCCAGGATTTCCAACTTCGACACTTTCTCTCTCGAGTTTCAAGAACTTTGCTGATCCTTGTGACACTTGGTTCTGTTTTTCCCTCTGGTCTGTACGCCTTCTCTGTCACACTCTTTATCTCCACACACCACTCATTTCAGGATCAGTCAAACCTTGAACTAAGAAGAAAATGTGTTGGGAGGACAGGGAGGCTTTCCTGGACTAAAGGGTGTTTCTGGAAGGATGGAGCGGGTTTTGAAGAAGTCGCTCTCAGATTACACTTTGTTGTCTACTCAGAATCAGTCACTGGTAGGGGGGAAAATGTCCTGCATGGAAACTAAGTGAGGTTGTGAGAAATTTTGTTTTGGATTATGTAATTTTAGACTTGTCTTAAAGGGATCACAGAATAAAGGGTCCTCCCACCCCTGGCCAGATCCAAGAGGAATCAATTTACTGTCTGTGGCTTACTAGCATAGTTTTGGTTGATTCTCGAAGAGCTCAGGGCTGGGGTGCGGTGGGGGGTGGGGGGGGAGTAACTGGAAAAAGAAACAGGAAACAATGGAAAGAGCTTGTACATTCAGAGTCAGGACTCCTGGGTTCAACATGTGACTTCCACACTTGACCTCTAGAGTGACCTTTTTGGGAAAATGGTCCACTCTATAGGCATCAGTGCAGTAATAGGCTAATAGCAGAGTGTGGGTTGGGGGGTAAAATTAGACTCGGTTTATTTGTTTACAACACGCTCTGGGTTTCTCAGACGAAAGGTATTTATTAGTAGTGGTTTAGTTATCCTGAGAATTTTCCTTCATCCTGGTCCCTCTGTTGGGTCTTTCTAGTCGACAGCCATGGGAGTAAGTCAGTTTGAAAGACAAGCTCAGCCCTGCTTCTTTCTCCCCACTGCCTTAAGTTGCTGTGCTGTTCCTCTTGTACTTGACCCATAACTCCAGATTCCATAGGTGGGAAGTATGTTTGTGGGCAAGCCCTTTAAGGAAGCCGGCTGGAAAAGAGAACTTGGAATGAGATGGGACTTTGGAAACTAGCTGCTCCCTCATATGCCATGTCTGTTTCTTGGCCTGCGATGGCGAAGAGGGCACGTGAAGGTCCATTCATCATCTGACTCTAGGCCCATTTGAAAATAATCACACTACATACCTCATCTCACTTCTCCCTTGCCCTTCCTAGTTAGCCCGAGTGCAGTCTACTCAGAGCCCCGCTTTTTAAGAGCAGCTTCGCTTCTTGGAAGCACCCCCAAAGAGAAATCGTATTTCCCTAGTTCCCCTGCCGCCTTCTCAGAGCTGGGTCCACACCACAGGAGAACATGTTTGCTGAACACCATCCAAAGCAGCACATTGAGATTCTTTGATTTGGGGAAGAAGTCTGGGAGGAACCGTTCAGTACCTGGCCTGAGACAAGAGAGGGCCTAGTCTAAGTGCATTTAGGGCTTGCAGCAGGGAGGAACAGTTCAGAGAGAGGTGAGCGGACAGGTTGCTTTGTCATCTGCCTGTTTCAGCAGAGGCTCCCAGAGCTGGCTTGGGCTGTCTGGCTGGAATCTGCTTGTACCAGCTCCAAGGCCCTGCACAGAGAGTTCTCAGCCTGATTCAATATTGACTTAACCATCCTGAGACCACTGCCTTCCCTCCCTCCTGATGCCAACCCCCCTTGGGGCTTTGGGTAAGCACTTACCTGGTTCCCGGTAGAGCCTGAGCCTACTTGACGGCTCAGCCCTGTGTTTCTACGAGGTAAAAGTAGTACCCAGTCTCCATCATTACCATTGAGGTCAAGGGGAAAAGATGAGCGGAGACCTCCTTAAAGCAAGGTTTGAGTTAGACCTTAAGACATGAGGAGGAACTTCTCAACAACAGAACAGGCAGCCTAGGGCGATGGGGAGTCCCTTCTGAAGAGCAGCTTCTTTTTAAAAATCATTGTTAAAGTTGTCTGCGTTCTTGGTAACAAATCCAGTGGTCCGTCAGAGTTTATGATGAAAATCAACAGTTGCTTTCCATGCATCCCTACTCCTACGCTTTTAGAGTTAACCTCTTAATTAGCTCAGTGTTTACTTCTGAAGATTATCACCATAAAATGCTTGTGCCTCTATTTCTTGATTTATTAATTTTACAAAAGTGGATTTAGTAGCTTTAGAGGACTTATACCGCTTATTTATATGATTACGTTATTTTTATTTCTATCCCAAATCTCAAATAACATTTGAAGCCCCTTTCTTTTCCATTAACTGTTTTTTTGGGTTTTGTTTAAGATTTTATTGGAGAGTTGGGGGAGGGGAACAGTGTTGGGAAATCGGGGAAGGAGAACAGACAAGTTGCTGTCCTTTTGTTCTTCAGTCTAGTTGTGGAGCACGTCGCTTCACTGGCCCATGTTGGTATCATTGCGCTCCTCCCGGGTGAGGCAGATTGATCGCCGGCCTCTGGACAGCCGCTCACGGTGGCTCTTGGCAGCTCACGCCGGCTGCCAACCTCTCACACCGGCTGCCAACCTCTCACACCGGCTGCCAGCCACACACGGTAGCTTATGGTAGCGCACTGCAGCAGGGGCTGTAGCCTATGCCGTTGCCGGCAACTCACGGCAGCCCAGCTTCCGGTCGAGCTGTTGTTCACCATCTTAGCTGTAGAGGGCGCAGTGTCACTGGCCCTCATATGGGATCCGAACCTGGGCCCTGCTGCTCAGAGCTGGCGTCCCAAGCCAGCTCTTAACCAACGTGCCACTCGGCCGGCCCTCCATTAACTTTTAACAGTCTCTCTTAACTACCCACCTTGGAGGATGAAGATACTGGCTCCATTACCCTTTTTTCCAACTCATATGATCCATCTGAAAGGGATCTTTTCAAAGGAGGAGGAAAATTGAGCTCGCCTATCTGCTTGGAGGCAGAGCACTAAATCAAGTGATCTCTTAAAGGCAATTCTATGAAAATACAGGAACATACAAAAAACATGAGGATTGGCCTGACCCAGTCCATACTTATCTAGTCCATGGAAAAAGATTCAAAGAAGGGAATGGTGATGAACCAGGTGAGGGGATTGATTCGGGTGCTTTACCGTTCTGTCCAAGCAGAGACCAGTCCAGTAAGGAGGCCAAGCGGGGAGGGCTGTTTAACTAGAATCTTCGAGGTGATGAGAGCGGGACTCCAGGTTAGGTGACAGCATCCCCTCCCCGCAGAGTCCTCTGCCTACATTTACTGAAATGCTCAGTCACACAGAACACAAGCCTGTGAACCCGCTCTGTCCTCTACAGCTGCCGCTGTGCCCTGAACAGGCCCCTGATGCTCAGATGAGGATCCCCTCCGTTGCCCTATGCGTGGAGCCCAGGCAGTTGTCAACACTTCCACCCCTTTCCTAGAAGCCAGCTGCTAGGAGGGCAGGGGAGGCCTCCCGGGTTCCCTTCCAGTCTCCCTGGAAGGCCACATTAGGCTCCTCATGTGACATGTGGGGCCTCGGTTGTCTGAATGTCATTGAGAGGCATTTGACAGTAAAGGTTTGCATTTTCGACTTTCACTTTTTTTCTGATGATCTGACTTGTAAGTGAAAGGGTGGTGAATACAGAATCTGATCTTTCTCTTTTCCTTTCACTTTCTAGTCCTTTCACTTTCTTGAGAACGGTGACTTATCAAAGTTGTGTTTTCTTTGCACTTGAAAGTGAATGAATGGATCATGGATTGAGGTTTTAGAGAATCCCTTTTCTACTTTTTATTGTCTAAATTGCCAGAACAACCTAAATTCCCTTCCATCCCTCCCTCCCCAGCCCCATGTCCTGCTTCATAAACACGCAGGTCCTGAGGCTCAGAGGCCAGGAGGGAGGCCCAGCTCCAGTGGGTCAGCTTCTGGTGGCACAGCTGCCCCTGTAGGAGAGGAGTCTGATTCCTGCACCTCTGGACATCATCTGGTTCTGGGGGAAGTAAAGACTGCCAAATGCGGGCCCTGTTTGGCGGGGAAGCCCCCTGAGTACTGTGATGTGGGCTTCCTACCTGAGCCCTGAGATGAAAGGAATGATGGTATCCTTACCTCCCTTCCTCACTAGGAAATGCAGCAGCTGTCTACACAAACGTTGCATATGGGAGAATGTCTCAACTTCCTTCTCCTTGGAAGTTTTGAAAAGTGGACTTTTAGGAGCTTTTGGTGACGTGGAAGTCTCTGGAGTAGAGAAAAAGGGAAAGACGTGCCAAGCATAGAGAGACTGAGGGGGGAAAAGTTGTTTGCATAAAATGATTGAGGCTATCGTGTGTTTCTAGATAGTCCTAAAAGGTAGTGGTCCCTGTTGAATTAAAATGACCTTCTAGTGCAGAGTGCCCTGTGGGTGTATGGCAGGGATGAGTAAACTTCCTCCTTGTTATTCCTGTGCAACGCATAGCTGCGAGCAGGAACAGATCCACGCAGGCAGCCATGCTGGTTCTGCTGCTCAGAGAGCACTGCGTAACTTGGGGAGAGAGCACAGAGAAAGGGTTGCCACCTTTTTCCCAACACTAAGCTCAGACTGCGTCAGGGAAATTAATTTCGGGGATGAACTTCTTGCTTGACGGAGTTGGGAGAGAGATCAACTGAAGTAGCCTTTTTTGGTGATCTCTGAGCACAGAAGAGAGTTCCCCATCTGTCTTCCTGCAAGACTTGAATGCAGATGTTTGGGAGGCAGGCAGCTCACTGCGTAATATCAGGGAGATGAAAGTAACCTTGACTCTCAGCATTTCGGAGGTGCAAGAGGCCCTGGAGGGGTGGCAGTGGAAAACAGGGCTTTCCCAAGTGACTGGAGAACCTGGATCCGGAGCCTCCTTCCACCTGCCCAAAGTACATGCACCAGGTTCAAAGGCGATGCCCCCAGCAGTAGGAGAGGACCTGCGTTCCCACTGTGCAGTAGCCCCCACCTTCCTCTTGTCCACACTCAGTGTGTCTTAGACTCGCTCCATTTGCGTTTTGTGAAGAGGTCTCTGAGCCCATTGCTGACTACAGCCAGACTCGAGCTGGGGTGATCTGACATTAACAGTGTGCCTCTGCCATCCTTTACCTTGAAACTTCCTCCTGTTCCGCTCTGATTCTTCTGACCTGGGTTTGGTGAGGCTCCAAGAAGCGTTCTAGGAGGGCAGGGGCTTTTGTTAGCAGTGCTCTCTCTCAATTCCCTTCTGCGAGTCTGTCTTCATTATGTGATTGGCTTTCCCCCCTGTTCTTTGGGACGTTTCAGACCCGTGAGTTCCAGCCTGATTTCTTGCTGCCTTCCCACAGCCCCTGCAGCTCTTGGAGTGTGTATGATAATGGGGAAAGTAGTGCTGGGATAGCAAAGGGCTGTCATAAATGTTTTGGAAGATTTTCAAACAACGAGGTGACTGTAATTCACTTCCCGTGCTTGTACATGTGCAGACACGTCCACACACAGACTGTTCACTAACCTTTTAGGGAATTAAGACTCAGCTAGCACTTACTGAGCACTGCTGTGTGTTGGGGACTGCTGTGTGCTAGATCTGTTTACACGCATGAAGTTGTTGATTCCGCATGGCAACAGTGAGAAGTAGGTATGTTTTTCCCATTTTGCAGTCGAGGAAACTGAAACCCAGAAGATAGATGGCTTGCATAAATCCACACATCTCATAATGGCAGAGCCAGGATTTTGAACGCCAGCCTATCTGACTCCAAGTCCAGTAGTCTTCCCACCACCCTGTAGCTGCCTCAGTTCAGCAGCTGGATGATGGCTGTTTCAGAGCTGTGTATTTCTAAGGGAAGCCTGGCCTGGTGTTTGCTGGCCCTTATTCCTTGGGAGTTTTGAATCTAAAAGGGAAGGTAAGAAAGTACCCGTAACCAGCATACAGCAAAACTTTAATACTAAGTAAAGGTGAGCTGCTCAGGCCCTGGGGATGGAGTGTTACATGAGTAAGGAAGTGCAGTTTAAAGAGGAAAAGAAAAAGATGATTGGCAAGTCTTTAAAGGGCGGCGTGGGCAGAGCATAAGACAGAAAAGCATTTGAAGAGGGGGGACAAGGGGGTAAGACCAGAATGTGGAAAGCTGGGTAAACATAATGCTGTAAAGCAACAGTTTGCAAGTCCGAGTTAGGAACAGAGGCTAAGCTGAGGAACGAAATGCTGAAGGAAAGAAGAGGCGTTGTAGCGATGAGAAGGGTAGGTTGTCAGGGAAAGCTTCCTGGCGGGAAATGACTTTTCTTCTGTTTTTGAAGGCGTCCAGGAAGACAAAAAGAGAGGAGGTGCCTGGGAAGGTTTCATGGCGAAGGGAAGACCTGCGGATGGCACCACTAACCAGTGTGTGTGTGTCTCCCTTCTTCTGTTCCTTTCTCCCTCCTTCCTCCTGTAGCTTGGAAGCTCGAAAGCCTGGCTGTGGCCATGGGAGACACGGTGGTGGCACCTGCCCCCCTGAAGCCAACTCCTGAGTCCACTCCTGGCCCACCGGGGAATAATGGGGGCTCCTTACTAAGCGTCATCACGGAGGGGGTCGGGGAACTGTCAGTGATTGACCCTGAGGTGGCCCAGAAGGCCTGCCAGGAGGTGCTGCAGAAGGTCAAGCTTTCGCATGGAGGCGTGACCGTCTCTGACAGAGGCGCCCCCCTGGAGTTGGTCAACGGGGATGGTGTGGACGGTGAGATCCGCTGCCTGGACGATCCACCTGCCCGGATAAGGGAGGAGGAAGAAGAGATGGGGGCCACAGTGGCCTCGGGCACAGCCAAGGGAGCAAGAAGGCGACGGCAGAACAACTCGGCCAAACAGTCATGGCTGCTGAGGCTGTTTGAGTCCAAACTCTTTGACATCTCCATGGCCATCTCGTACCTGTACAACTCCAAGGAGCCTGGCGTGCAAGCCTACATCGGCAACCGGCTCTTCTGCTTCCGCAATGAGGACGTGGACTTCTACCTGCCCCAGCTGCTGAACATGTACGTGCACATGGACGAGGACGTGGGCGACGCCATCAAGCCATACATAGTGCACCGCTGCCGCCAGAGCGTCGACTTCTCCCTCCAGTGCGCGCTGCTGCTCGGGGCCTACTCGTCAGACATGCACATTTCCACTCAGCGGCACTCGCGGGGGACCAAGCTGCGGAGGCTGATCCTCTCCGATGAGCTGAAGCCCGCTCACCGAAAGAGGGAGCTGCCCTCCCTAAGCCCGGCCCCTGACACAGGACTGTCCCCCTCTAAAAGGACTCACCAGCGCTCTAAGTCAGATGCCACCGCCAGCATAAGTCTCAGCAGCAGCCTGAAACGGACAGCCAGCAACCCCAAGGTGGAGAGTGAGGACGAGGTAACATCCCGAGGGCGGGGACCGGAGGGGCGAGGTGGCATGCAGACAGGATGTCTGACACAGGGCCACTCTGTCCTTTCCCCTCTTTCCTTCTGTTTCATTTCACTGATAAAAGCATGGAATGTTAGAACGGAAACAGACCTTAGAGCTCATGTATCCCAACTGCCTCATTTTATAGAGGAACAACTTGGAGTCCCAGAGAGATAACATGACTCGTCTCGGGTCATATGGCAAATAGCAGGGCTGGTGGTACTCCTGACTGCTTGGCGTTGTTTTCACGAAACGCCACTGCCATTCCAGTAACCCCCTCCTTACTGAGGATGGTAGCTGAAGCCCTCCCCACCCTGACCTGAGACCTGGCATATCAACCAGGACCTCTCAGAGCCGCAGCCACGGGCGGGCGGGCGGGCCGGTGGGGAGAGGGACTGTGTGCAGCTTCCTTCTCCTGACCCCGCCTCCTCAGTCCCTCCCCTGCACTCCACTCCCTGAAGACCCCGCCTTTTGTTTCCATCAGGGTAAGGCTCTTTACCATCGATGACCCAGGCAGCTGCAGAGTCCAGCCTGCCAGCCTTTTTCCTGGGCGGCAGGAATATCAGTCTTGCTCAGATAATTCGGAGACGCACAAAGGAAGGAAGCAGCCTTAGAGTAGAGACTAAATCGTGGGCGTTTAGTCTGTAGTTCTGGAGAGAAGAGAGGGCTATGGCAGCAGTGGGGGTGTCTGCTTAGGGTACAGAGCAGGGAGGAGAGGAGCACATCGGTAGGTCATACCCACATGGGGACACAGAGCAGGGAAAGTGTCAGTGGCCTGGTGCCCCAGCCAGACAGCGGTGCCCCAGTCCCCCACTCTGACTCACCACCAGCGCAGCTCCCATCCTGGCTGCCAGCCCAGCCCAGGAAAGGAGGAGAACAGCAGGAGGAATTTGCACTGCTTGGAAAATGCATACTGGCCTCGGCTTCTGTGGGGCACATAACCCACCCACCTACGTTTTTGATACAGTGGGACTTCTTTCAACTAGAGGGAGGTCAGAATGACGAGGAGGGAGGGAGACTACAGAGCCTGCTCGCCCTGGAAATGCAGCCTTTCATCAGTGGAGCTAAAAGAGCTACCGTTTATTGAGCACGTATGATGTGCATCATGTCAAGTACTTTACATTTAATCCTCACGACGCCCCTAAGAGACAGCTGGTGTTTAGCATTGAGCCAACAGGTTAGATGTTTGCCTGAGGTCTCAATGTCAGACCAGGCCTCACGTCACAGCTGGTGCTGCGAACCATTCAGCTGACCTCTCGCAGTCACTTCTCAGCATCTGCCTTCCCGGGTTCTCAGCTGTCAGAGCCCATTTGGGGAAGAACGGTGAGGCCTTGGCCATCCAAGTTTCCACATCCGGGCACAGGCAGAGCCCGGTTGTTCTCAGAACCAGCAAGGCCCACTTCCACTTCTGGTTGCACTTGGCAGGGAGGCTCAGGGTCATGAAGGGAGATTGCTGGAGAGCGAGAAGCGTCACCCAGAGGTGGTGGGACTGCAGTGTGGGGTCCGGCAGTGTGAGTGTGCGCAGCTGGAAGCGAACCCCGGTGGCTCCTGTCAGGCTTGGCTCTTCTCCATGTGTGCTTTGTCGTCCTCTTGGTCGTAGGACCAGAAAGCCCAAGACCTCGGGGCTCATCTTACTCGGCGCTGGTCCTTGGTCCCTCTTCCTTGCCCCTGACTCCTGCCCCGGTGGGGTGATGGGTGGCACACGGAGATGCATGCGTTCTGTGGGTGCCCTTATCCCCTAGGGTGGCTCCTCCAGCCGCCATTCTTCCCGGCCTGGCTCCTTTGTCGCGGGACACTGGATCCGGGGTGGTGGGGGGAGCAACACTGCATCCCCGGCCTCTCCTGGGTTATCTGATGCTGGCAGAGTGAGACACCCGAAGCCACTGTGGCTCCTCAGGAAATGTGAGAGTGAGAGCGAATGAATACGCATGCCCCTAGGAGCGTATGCGCAGGGGTGTCTCCAAACCGCTTGGGCATTTTCAGGACCCATCTGTCAAGGCCACTGTCCCCCAAACACAAGGGGAATTGGTTTTCCTTCCTCTACTCCTTCTTCCCTCGTCACACAGCGTTCATTCACTCAGCATGTAGTTACTGAGCTTGCACGTGTGCAAAGCCTGTGCTAGAGGAGCTGGAGGACGGGACCTAACGGGCTGTCCGGCCCTCTGGGAACCTAGAAGGCAGGATGGAGGCCCCATGAGCCAGGGAACTGTGGCCTTTGTGACTCTTGATGCTGTATCCTGAAACTTCACTGAGTTTATCAGTTCCGACAGTTTGTTGGTGCAGTTTGTGGCTCTCTTGAAAAGTTGTTTCCTGCATATAGAGGACACGTACAGCTTAGTAAAACCAAGCGCACCATTATCTCAGGACTGAGCGGAGTCCCTAGGGGAGGCTCTGGGTGGGCCCTGACATTTCTCCCCATCTCTCTCCCCTGTGTGGGTTCTGAGCTGAATCCACCAGTGGAGGTGCTGGGGGGCCGAGGTGGGGGCGCAGAGGCCCGGAGAAGAGGCCCAGCAGCTTGTAAGCACTGCAGCCTCCCTGCAGGCTTCTCCACCCAGACTTCACAGAGGCTCCTGTTTTCTTTTAAGGAGGAATCCTTCGCCCTTGCCCTCCAGCTGGGGGGCTCTAGCCCTGCTTTCTCCCATCTCCCACCATTTCCCCCCTTCCAAGCAGTTTTTATCAGCCTAGTGGGGAACTCTGCTCAGGCTGCTTCCCCTCCCATTTGTAAGTAAATGGCAAATCATTTGGCATGGCCTGGGGCGCAGGGAGCAGAGAGCGATCTAGGCACCACCCCACAGCCCACCCCACAGAATGACACTCGTAGGGGATCAGCCCTGTCTCCTCAGGACTGTAGCCTTTGTACAGACAAATCTGCGAGTTGCACTGGAGCCTGCTATGGTGTGATAGCAGCTTCTTGGCCTCAGCCTGTCTCCTTGGAGCTGACTCAGTAGGAGTGAGTCCAGCCTACAGAGGAGGACAGAGGAGCAGTCGTGCTGTACCTCCCCTCCCCCACGGCTGTTACTGAGCCAGACAGGACCTGTCTGTGGGAGAATCCGCTGGAGTGCAGCTCCTGGAGGCACCATCCTACCCGCTGTTCCCCGCCACCTCCAGCTCATGGGTAGAAATTGAGCCTCTTAAGTCACACGAGACTCTGGCATCCTCACTGCCTCAGTTCTCCCTCCCACCACCCCCCAACGCGCAGGGGTCGTTGCCTGGCTTCTCCCTCAAAGCGCCTCGCTCCCCAGATTCTGCCATGAAGGCAGAATCCTGACTATAGGAATTCCACCCAGAATAGGACTTAAGCCCCGGAGCTGAATTAAGGAGACGCCTGAAATGCTGGCTGCTCAGCAGAAGCTCCGTGACTGCTGCCCTCCTGCCCTGGGAGCTCTTAGGACGCTGTCTCTAAGTCCAGCCCCCAGCCCCTCGGGCAGGCTGGTGCACAGATACCCCCCACGCCCACCCAGAGAGCTGGCACACAACCCGGGCTGGGCCTGTGCACGAGCCGCCACAGAGCCTCTCAATGAGAGTCTGCCCAGCGGCTCTTCCCGGTTGGCTCTCGGAGCCCAGAAAGACACGGGAATGGGCGAGGTTTAGATAAACCCCCTGGGCTGGGACGAGGACAGCTGCTGCTTGGGCACTCCCCTTTCTCACGTGGGGTCAGCTAGGACCGTACTTGCTTGCCATGTGAAATAGCCTGATAGGAAACCTGCGGGGGCTTGGGAGGTGGGAGGGGAGTTCATCCTTTACTCCCAGCAGCATCCAGCCCAGAGGGTTTGCGCTCAGGAGTCCGTGGTGCCCTGGTCACGATTCCAGGTTGGGTTCAGCTTCCCGGGGTGATAATGAGGCTGGTGAGAGGAGACAGAACTGGCAGTGACCATTCCTCTCTTCTGCTTCCTCCGTCCCGTCCCTCTGAGGTCTCGGTGGAGAAGGGTTTGGTTGAGAGGACTGAGTGGGTAACGGGCAGGCTGGGAGGCTTGGCCGTCAGTTACCTCCCTAGGGACCCAGCTTCAGGGTTTGGTCCTAGAAGGAAGACTCGGGCAGGCAGAGGCCGCTGTCTCCCGCCCTTCTGACCTCAGGGTCTGAGCTAGCCTTCCGGCATCTCCCTCAGTGTCTAGACTGGGCAAGGTGCACGTCTGAGTTGACTTTCCTTCGTTAAAGCAGAGAGGTTAAAGCAGAGCTACACAAGAGAAGCAGGTATGGTCCAAGTTGGAGCTAAATTCTTTGCCTTTGTCTCTCTCCCTTCCCTCCCTGCCCCCTCCTCCTCCCCTTGCCCTCTGGCCCTTTCCCAGGAGCTCTCATCCAGCACCGAGAGTATTGATAATTCATTCAGTTCCGTAAGTGGGGCCAGGCTGGGACTGGGTGGCAGGCTCCCCCATGGCCGCATTTCCTCTCCGTCCCCAAACCTGAGTCCCCAGGCCAAGGCTGGAGTTAAAAGGTGCCGTTTCTCCCAGGCCTCCCAGACCTGGAGGAGTCCCCGGCCCTGCTGCCAACACCCTGGGCCCAGGCTCAGGGGGCTCCGTTGATCCTTTTCCCAGAGACAGCTGGGATGCAGTGTGACTCAGCCCCCAGCTCCTGGGTCTCTAGAGCCAACAGCTGGGAGAGAGGTAGAATTTACCCCTGGATGACAGCCAAGTTCTGCTTGGCAGAAACCCCCAGGATCCTGTGTCTCCCATCCAGAACCCTTTCCCCATGACTTCTGCCATCAGACCTTCAAATATTTATCCAGTGTCTTCTAAATGCTGGGCCCTGTGCTGGGTGAGCGGATTCCAAAAGCAGGCAGGATTTGGCCTGAAGGACCGTTTTAAAGACCTCCCCACAGCCGGTTTTCTTTTTAACTTCAACCGCATTTCTTCCAGGTCTGAGTTCTCCCCTTTCCCAGCTCCCTGCCCAGTCGCCATTCTCCTTGCTTGTTCCCTCTGGACTAACCCCCTGGTCTCACGGGGTCTCAGACCTTGTTGCTGGGCAGAGACTGAGAGGAAATGCTGGACCCTCTGGGAGTTTGGATGACTTTCTTTTACATTTCCTTTTTGATTTGTCTGCCCAATCCGTTTTCTCCCGTTCTCTGCTGATCCCTTTTCAATCATGATTCCTATCTATCTCCTCCCAGTGGCAGAGCCTGTCTCTGGAGGCTTGGGTCGCATTTCCAACATGCTCACATAATTAGGGGCCCCGACCCCTGTGCTGATTTGAGGATGGAAAGGACTGCTACCTTTTCTAATCTGAGAGGACTATGAATCAGTTGGGGGGGAGGGTCCTTGGGACAGTGACCATTTGCCACCTGAGTGGATGGATTAGGGGATCAGGATGAATGAAGGAGTCCTTTTCTTTCTCTTTCTCCGTTAGGCCCCTGGGATATTTCCAGGGGTCACAGAACACTTGTTCTATTGTCTTCCTATATATCTCTTCAACCCTGCCTCCCAAAGAGTAGGGTGACTGACCCGGACACCCTACTATTATCGTGTGGGGCCCTGAGCAGCCCCTGTGGGGCCGAGGCTGACAGGTGAGCCTGGCTCTGCGCATGTGCAGACGTGGGCCTGGTACTGCCCAGCTTTCAAAAGAAGCTCCTTTTTGCAGCTTGAGGGTGTGAGGGTAGAAAGTCTCCATCAGGAAACTAAGCAAGATGCAGAGAGGGAGAGAAAACCTGGTGAGTGAAATACTGTTTCTATGAGAGGAGGAGATACTGTCCTTATCTAGCTGACAGGGAGACGGGATGGGGAGCTGGTGGCTATCTTGATAAAATGCCCCTTCTGATAGAAGGACTTGAACTAGGAAGAAAACCTCTCTCTTCATGTCCAGCTGCGGCCATCTTTGCCCCACCCCCACCCCACTCCCCAGACTGACTTGACCTTCTCTGAGAATGACAAGTGCCCAGCACCAGGAGCCAAGTTCACAACAGGGAGCAAATGTGGGGACCCTAGTCCTGAGCGGTAGGGCACGAGGACCCAGGGAGGAATCACTGAAAGACAGGCCTCAGGGTCAGTGGTCAAGGGCGGAAGAGCTGGGAGGCAGGCGGGATGGCCTTCCCCACCCACAGGCCTGCCTGCAGCTGCCTTTTCCTTCCCTGTTGATGATTCCCTTATTGACACCAAGTCTGCCCGTCCTCTTCTCGTCCCCTGCATGCAACTTGACCTCGTGTAAGAGATCAGAGATCGTGTAAGAGATCAGAGATCGAGGGCTGGGGGTGGGGGGTGCCACAGAATCAGCACAAGTCATGTGGATGGAGTGAGTCCTCCTCTGGAAGGGGAAATACTGACCCCGAGCCCCGGCCTCGCCTTGTTGAGCCCTGGCAGCGTCCCAGCCCAGCGAGCCGGACGGGGAGAGGGGAACCCGCTTTGAGATGGATGAAGTACTTCAGGTGTGAGCAGCTCTCTTCTCCAGGGCCCTGGGTCACCTCTCTGGGGGTTGTCCCCCTGCCCATCTTGAACCCTTGGGACAGTTTCCAAGGAGTTCAAGTCCAAGAGAAGAGGGGTGCAACCCAGTGACCTGGATCCTCACACCCCAGTACCCTTAAGAAACAGCCCGTGGAGAAGGAACATGCTGGCTCTCACCTGTTCCCCATTCAGGATGACTGGCGGGGTGGGGTCTCCTGTTAGGACTGACACAGCCCCTTCCGTGGATCTGCAGAGCCTGGGCTCCCTGGCCTGCGTGGCTGGGGGTCCCTGAGTGGTGGGCCGCTTTTTCTGTGGTTTCTTCACCGTCCTCTACTTCGCCCACCCCCTGCAGCCTGTCAGACTGGCTCCTGAGCGCGAATTCATCAAGTCGCTGATGGCGATCGGCAAGCGGCTGGCCACGCTCCCCACCAAGGAGCAGAAGACACAGCGGCTCATCTCGGAGCTCTCCCTGCTCAACCACAAGCTCCCGGCCCGAGTCTGGCTGCCCACGGCCGGCTTCGACCACCACGTGGTCCGCGTGCCCCACACCCAGGCCGTTGTCCTCAACTCCAAGGACAAGGTAGGTGGGCTCTGCTCCACGCTTGGCCAGGGTTTGTGTCCGTGCCGAGATGCCCACCAGCAGCACCCTGGACTCCCAAATGGCCCCGGGCTCGTGTGGAGCTGGGCTGTGCCTCGGTGCTGTGGTAATTCTGAGACCTGCTTGTCCCCGTTCCTGGGCTTTGCTTTTCTGGACCAAAGAGGCATGGTCTTTCCAGCTCGCCGCTTGCCATGTCTCAGGAGAGGGTCACTCTCCAGCCCTCCTTACAGCCCTTCTGGTGGCTCTTCTACAAATCGTGGGTTTTCCAGGTACAGCAACAAGAGCATAGAGACACATTTTGTTTCTAAGGCCTTTTCCGAGCAGGGTGAGCAGGGAGGAGGAGGAAAGGATGCCCCATTCAGACTGGAGCAAACTAGCGAAATTTGTTGGTTGAAATGAGTACTGATGGTTCAGATTTCTCTTTCAGAAGCACTGAAGGTTAGAGCCCTGCTTGCAACAGTGCCCAGCTTTGCCCTGCTCTTTTCTTCTGTCTGTAGGACAAGCCCCCGTGGGCCTCCGGGCCTCTCTGCTGGGCTGTGACTGATAGTTTGGAGTGGTTTTGCCCAAAGTGCATCATCTATACATTTTGAAGCTCAGCTGAAATATTTTGAAGACTTGTGCACTCTCTTGCCCAAATTCTTTATATAGCTGTTCAGAGGACAAGTTCCTGCCCTAATATGGCGGGCGTTCTCAGTGTCAGGGGACTGAGGGTTGAAGGGTGGAGTGGGGAGTGGGCAGGAAGAAGCGCTGTGTTAACAGAGTTGAGATTTGGGGGACAGCGGTGGCAGTGAGTTGCAAATAAGGTTCTTGCTGTGCCCCCAGGCTCCCTACCTGATCTACGTGGAAGTCCTTGAATGTGAAAACTTCGACACCACCAGTGTCCCCGCCCGGATCCCCGAGAACCGGATCCGGAGCACACGGTCTGTGGAGAACCTGCCTGAGTGTGGCATCAGCCATGAGCAGCGGGCAGGCAGCTTCAGCACTGTGCCCAACTACGACAATGACGATGAGGCCTGGTCAGTAGATGACATCGGCGAGCTGCAGGTGGAGGTGAGGGCGCACCGGGGATGTCCTGCGGGCACGACACCACTTCTTCAGGGGGAGAGGGGACACTCCAGACAGCTCCCATCTGGAATAGCTTCAGGAGGAGCTTGCTCTCCGGCAGGAGGAATGTAGCTTACACGTCAGGAGGAACTTCTACGGGGAGTGAGAGAAATGGAATCAGAATGTTTGCTGAACACCTGCTATCTCAGGTGGGCTTAGGAAAGCAGAGGATGAGAAGTCATACATTCATTTATCCAGGAAATCTTTGTGGAGGGCCTTGTTTGTGCCAACCCTGAGTGCTGCGTGGGTGAACAGGCCTGGCCCCTGCCTGAGAGGAGTTTATGGCCTAAGAGGAGAGAGAAGGAGACAGGGGGTGGTTAGAACGTGGTGCGATCAGCTTGTGCTGGAGAGGAGGGGTTTGATGGGAGTGCCTGCTGGTGGGGTAGCACTTACTCCAGACTTGGGCTTCGACACACCCCAAAGATTTCCTGGAGAAATAATAGCTCAGCTGAGGCCTGAAGATGGGTACGAATGAGCTGGACAGAGTATTCCAGGCAGAGGGCGCGGCATGTGCAGAGACTGGAAGCCGAGAGAGAGCATGGCTTGTTTTAGGAACTGAGAGAAGTTTTGTATGGCTGAGATGTGTGGGTGCGCGGGGAGAAGTCAGGGATGCGCTGGAGAGGCCGGCATGGCCCGATTGCCAGCGGCACCCCATAAGCTGCGGGGAGGAGCTTGGGCATCACTCTGGGGCCGGAGGGGGCCAGAGCAGGACTTTACGTGGGGCTGTGACACCTCCAGACCTCACTTTGTGAAAAGACTGTGCCCTTGACCTTACAGTCCAGATGGGGAGATTGGACACAGACATTTAAGAAACGTGTATACGAAGTGATGAGTGGATTGTGAAGGAAGGAGAAAGCGGGGACTTGAAATGGACCTTGGGTCTGGTAGATTCTTTTATAGCTCGAGAGAGATGGGGAGGTAAGACCAAATGGCTTAGCCTGAAGAACCTGGTCTGCAGAGGGTCTGTCCTGGACCCTAGGGGAGAATGCATCTCCAGCGTGGGGAGCTCGGAGTGGAAGGCGGGAAGCTCCTCTTTCATGCTCAGGGCAGTGCTTTGCAGACCTGAGACCTGAGTGTGCTGGGAATCTTCTAGAGAACTTGGCGAAAAGTCAGACCTCCAGATCCGCTCCCTGTAATTCCGGGACGGGAATCTGCGTCTTAGCAGCATTCCAGGTGTTCACACTGACAGAAACACCACCGCGGGGCCTGTGTGAGCTCCGAGGCAGGCTGGGGTCCCAGTGGCCAGGATGGAGTGTAACCAGGAGAGGCCCTTGGGAGCAGAGTTAGAAAGGGAGGGACGATCAGGACACGGAGATGGCACACATGCCGGTGATCTGAGGAGCGAGGCCCATGCCTCGCGCTCTGACCTGCCGTCCCTGCGCCCCCAGCTCCCGGAAGTGCACACCAACAGCTGCGACAACATCTCGCAGTTCTCCGTGGACAGCATCACCAGTCAGGAGAGCAAGGAGCCCGTGTTCATTGCCGCCGGCGACATCCGGTATGGCCGCACGCTGCCCTGTTTTCCAGCCCTGCTGCAGGCACTGCCTGCCTTTAGCCCCTCCCGCTCCATCAGCCCGTGTCTTTCCCTTTCCTCTGTCCTTACTCTGTTCTTGTCCTGAGGCCACCAAAGTTGAGGCAGTGATTGTGCAGGTGGAGAAATGACTGGGCTACTACAGGAGGCAATTAAATGTTAAAAGGACTCCAAAGGGGTGAAGGCGCCGAGAGAGGAGTGGGCAGCGCTGCCCAGATGTGGCCGAACCAGGGCGCTGGGAGGAAAGCCTGCTGAAAACGCAGATGCTGGGGTTCTGAACCCGAATCTTGGCAGGGGACTGGGGAGGGCCTAGTGGTCTGCACTTTAACACGATTCCAAATCACCGGTTTAGCAAAAAGGGGTCAGTGGTGTGTTTCCTCCATGAGTGTCTCAGCCCAGGTTTCTGTCCGCCCAGAACCAAGGAAACAGTGCAGGAAATGCCGCCATAGACAGGGACGTGAGGCTCTGGGGTAACTCCTCCAAGCAAATGATACAGTTTCTTCCTGCTAGACGGCGCCTTTCGGAGCAGCTGGCTCACACCCCCACCGCCTTCAAACGAGACCCTGAAGACCCTTCTGCAGTTGCTCTCAAAGAGCCCTGGCAGGAGAAAGTGCGGTGAGTGGGCGGGGGTGGCCTCTGTGCCCCTCTCAAAGCTCGGAGCAGCTGCAGGTACTCACTGCACCATCCGCGCTGTCCGTCAGGCCCCCCAAATCCCGCAGGCTCCCAGGCGGGTCCCATCCCTGCCCCGCAGGGAGTTTGATTAGGATTTTCGGTAGAAGCTCTCTCGCTGTCCTCACCCTGGCTTCGCTCTTTGACACCTTTTGCTTCTCTCTTCACAGGCGGATCAGAGAGGGCTCCCCCTATGGCCATCTCCCCAACTGGCGGCTCCTGTCAGTCATTGTCAAGTGTGGGGATGATCTTCGGCAGGAGCTGCTGGCCTTCCAGGTGTTGAAGCAACTACAGGTAAGAGAGGGGAGGGAGAAAGAAGGGGAATGTAACCCAAGGGCAGCCCACCTGAGGTGACCACCTGCCAGGTCTAAACGGGATGCAGATTAAACTAAAGCTGGCTCCTTCCCTAGTGCACTTATCCAGGAAGCAGTCACAGGAACGGCTCCACAGCGGCCTCTTGTGGCCCTTTTGTGATTTGCACCTGCTCTGATCCCTGAACTTGTGGGTGCTGGCTTTGTCCTTTAGTCAAAACTCGCAACTGAATAATTAAAAAAAAAAAAAATCTCGCAACTGGTCTTTGTGAGTGGGTTGCAGTGTGCTGAGATGTCAGTCCCCTGGGTGTCTGGGTCGGTCACCTGTCCACAGCTTCACCTGTTTAATCCAGTTCTTTATATAAATGTTTTCATTTTCTAGAGAAGCTTCCTCTGGACCTAAATCCTTTTCCCTATTTGAACTTGGATTAATAGCGCCATTCTAGCTGCTTGTGGCGTGACAGTGTGGTTCCCTGTTCTCCCTGCCTTTTGGGAGCTTTCTGTCTATACGATGCCTTTTCCCATGTACCTCCCTGTGTCATGTCAGGCCCTGGACTTCCTTTCAAAACTCCCTGGCCCTCAGTGGGTTTCATAGCTTGATGGCCTAGAATCCAAGGCCGCCAAGGCTGGGAATGTCCGAGGTTGGGAACTCTGGCCTCCTGCCCCAGCCTGGAGGCAGGTGACAGTCCCGGTGCTTCTGTGTCTCCTCACAGTCCATTTGGGAACAGGAGCGAGTGCCCCTGTGGATCAAGCCATACAAGATTCTCGTGATTTCGGCTGACAGCGGCATGATCGAACCAGTGGTCAACGCCGTGTCCATCCACCAGGTGAAGAAACAGTCCCAGCTCTCCTTGCTGGATTACTTCCTGCAGGAGCATGGCAGCTACACCACTGAGGCCTTCCTCAGTGCCCAGCGCAATTTTGTGCAGAGCTGTGCCGGCTACTGCTTGGTCTGCTACCTGCTGCAGGTCAAGGACAGGTAGGTGGCTTTGCGCCCCTCTCAGCCTTTCCTCCAGGGTCCCCTCTGTCCCCCATGTCGTTCTCATGTACTGCTCACCACCTTCCATGGCCCAGACGTAAAAGATGAAACAAACAACACGTTCGTAGCGGAGCCAGGCGTGTTCCCATGCCACTAAGCCAAGGGGACAGACTGACAAGCACGAGGGAAGGATTTGTGGGCAGAGCGAGGGTTTGGGCGCACAGCGTCCCGAAGGCCGAGGTAGAGTGAGGACTGAGCACGCTGTGGGGGAGCGTGCTCCAGGCAGAGGGACAGCTCAGTGTGATGAAGGCTCAGGCTGTGCTGCTGCCTGACGGGAGAATCGTGGGCAGTGATGTCAGAAGGGCCTCACGGTGAGGCAGAGGATTTAGTCTGCAGGTGGAGAAAAGACATGACCCAGTCTGTTCAGTGAGTGCCCCGGTGGCGCTACAGGTGAGGGGGGGTAACTGGGCCTTAGCAGCAACGCAAGAGGTAACAAGGCCTGGCCTGAGTGACCGAGAGCAGAGAGAAGGCGAATAAGGGACGGGTGGGGATGAAGTTGAAACGCCCAGCCCTGAAATCTGCGTTAATTCCAGCATACGATCTGCAGCACTGTCAAGCACCTATTGCTTTGCTCAGAGCTGTCATTTCCAAAATCACATGACCTTTGAGGCCCAGCTTCACATACAGGTGAACAACATATGGTACAAAGATAATTACATCCAGATAGTGACTCAGAGTCCCTAACCCGGACACGCCTGTGCCCTGGGAAGGCAGAGCTGCATTGGCCAGGGCTCCCGGTGACATGGCGGCACTGTAAGAGCTGGCCACCAGCAGCTTATCAGAAATCTAGCAGTGGTTAGGTGTGTGCCATGGCCTGGCATTGTTACACTGAAACCAGCTGAAAACCCTTTCAGGCAGGTGCGTCCTCATGACGCAGCCGAGAGTCCGGGAGCTTTGAGAACCTGCCCTCATCCCACCTGGTCAGCCCTCCAGGTGAGGCCACTGGAGGCTCTGCATTTGAGGGCTGAAGGGAAATGTTATTTATGAGGAATGTGCCTCCATGCTTTGTCCCTGGAGAGTCAGGGTTTTGCATCCAGAACCCAGAGCCTGAGGATGAGCCCCAGGATTGGGTAAATGGGGAGCAGGGGGGCGGGTGCTAGTCCGGCCTCTGGGCTCTCCTTTGGGAAATGAAGATGTTTGGAAGATCAGGGTTCCTCCTTTAAAGGGATCGGGCAGGGGTGTGACAGGAGCTGGTAAACCTTTCATAATAACTCAGAAGAGAATAGTAGTCAAGCCATGAATGGAATCAGCCAGTGGAAAGTCCCGAACCATCTCCAGCAGTTAAAAAAAAAGACAAACGGCCCTCGCTGGCCTTGGGACCCTGGACAAGCAAGTTCTTCCCTCAGGGCCTGTCCCTTCACCTGGACAAGGAGAAATCGGGCTGGGGCATCCAGAACCTTTCTGACTCAAGATTGTGGCTAAATTCATGCTGCTTTCCCAGAGGGGAAAGGACTCAGGTGGCCCTGGTCTCCTTCTGCCCCCACTTCTTTGGCCAGTCAGACCAACCCCCGAGAAGGTGGCCCTCAGACCCTGAACTCTTAGCCTAACAAAGCCGCCATTGACACTGAGGACTGTGGTTGTGCTGAATGGGCCAGGCCTCACATGCTGAGCATGTTAATTGTTCCTCCGCCCACTGGCCATTCATACGGCATGACAAAGACCCGTCTCCTTTCATTCTCCCTGCAGCTGGCCCTGGTTACTGAAGTGACTTGACCAGATAGTTAAAACTTACCTTTGAAGCCCCCACACTATTTTACATTTAAGCTCCTCCCAGCCTGCGGCTCCCTCCCCCGTGGGGCCCTGATCTGCATGGGCTGATAGGACTCACAGATCAAACCCAGGTAACTAGGTGCTGACAGAAGCCTCCCTCTGAGCCAACTGCGTGGCCTCTGTGACAGCTGGCTGGAACCTCAGAGGCCTTCCTCCCTTGCTTCTGGGCTTTCTACTAGATTGGGACCAGTCTGGGTGCTAGAAGCACAATTTTTGGAAAATTGGGATAATCTTCAACTATTTCATTGTTAATAATAGGGATTTCAGACCCCACGGCCTGTGTTAGCATTTACTTGGATTTCCTGTCTGCTGCTGCTCGCTTTAGGCCCCAGGTGGTTGGACCCAGAGTCACAGGCAGCAGGAAACATGGTGGGGGCTCCCCTGCCTGGTGGCGTGGGCCCCGTGTGTTGCATCTTAAGGCCGCTGCCTCAGTCAGACTCACTAGGGCCTCTTCCTGTCCTCTGCCCCCTCCTCAGACACAATGGGAACATCCTTCTGGACGCGGAAGGCCACATCATCCACATCGACTTCGGCTTCATCCTGTCCAGCTCACCCCGAAACCTGGGCTTTGAGACCTCCGCCTTCAAGCTGACCACAGAGTTTGTGGATGTGAGTCAGGCGGGAGAGGTGCCTCCCTGTGTTCTGTCATGGGAGGGGGGAGCAAACAGACCAGAAACGGCAGTAAGTCAGGGTGAGGCTGGGTGTCCTGGGAGGCTCCCTGCCTGCCGAGCATGGGGAAGTGAGGGGTTTGGCGCGCTTGCCGATGGAGGAGGGAGTTCCGCCTGCTGATGGGACCCGAGCCCCCATACACCCACCTCTCTCTCCTCCCCTCCCAGGTCATGGGTGGCCTGGATGGCGACATGTTCAACTACTACAAGATGCTGATGCTGCAGGGGCTGATCGCGGCTCGGAAACACATGGACAAGGTGGTGCAGATCGTGGAGATCATGCAGCAAGGTGGGGCTGGGCGTGGCCAGGCGCCTGGGGCTGGGCGGGGCCCAGTGCCTCAGGGTTCCCACTTAGGATGGGGCCCTGGAGCTGGAGCTTCCAGGAAGTTCATTCCACCTCACAACTGGGGCGGGGGTCCCCAGAGGGTTTCCAGCTCTGATCCAGGGACATTCCTCCCGACAGAGCTAGGTCATGGGGGCAGGGGCGCAGAGGCCCGCAAACGACTCCCTAGGCACACTCAGGGAGAAAACGGCCCCATCTCCAGCCACCTGGCCCCTTCCCCTCCCCCATCCCTTGTCCAACTCTGAGTTGCTGGCTTCTCCTCCCATCGCTCAGCTCTTGACCAACTCAGGTGTGGCCAGTCACCGCTTTCATCCCCACTGGGCTTTGAACTCCCATGGCCCTGTGCTCAGGCCCCTTGCCTGTCCCCCGTCCCTGCTCTGAGAGCATTTCCTTCGTTTCTCTCACCTTGGTCTCCTCACTGTGCTGTCTCCTCACTGCCTTGTCATCTGCAGTCTTTTGTCCCCATCCCTCTCCTGAAGGCTGCCGTGTACACCCAGTCTGAGCTGCCAGTGTCCCCCTCCTCCCCATCCCTGCTCCCACCCCACAGGTTGTCGCCGATGCTCAGGAGCACCCCCGTCTGGCCCCGTGATGACGGTGGCCCAGGTCATCTGTGAGTGTCAGACCTAGCGTAGGCAGAGGCCTGCAACCAGATAAGTGCCAGCTCAGGGCCCACCCCAGGTCCTCCTCCCGGCCTTCCCTCCGGGTGCTGAGACGCTGCGCCCTCAGCCCTTACTGGGGGATAAGTGGTGTTGGCCCCCGCCCGCTCCCCTCATGCCCTCACCGAGAGGGGCTTAGGAGTGTGGGGTGAAGTCAGGCTCAAGACAGGGCCCCCCCGCCAGCTCTCCCTCTTCTGCCAAGCAGAACTGCTCAGGTCTGAGGTGGGAGGGGGCCGGGCACTTCGGACGCCCTGGGCTCTGTTTGCACCACTGCCCCTCCCCCTCTCCCCCATGACCCTCTGCCTTCCCTGCCGCCCCCAGGTTCTCAGCTTCCTTGCTTCCACGGCTCCAGCACCATCCGCAACCTCAAAGAGCGGTTCCACATGAGCATGACCGAGGAGCAGCTGCAGCTGCTGGTGGAGCAGATGGTGGATGGCAGCATGCGCTCCATCACCACCAAACTCTACGACGGCTTCCAGTACCTCACCAACGGCATCATGTGACTGTCCTCGGGCCCCAGAGCGCTGGGACATTTGGGGACCCTCCCCGGGAAGGCCCAAACCAGGAAACCCCCCGCCCAGCCATCCACCCAAGGGAAATGGAAGGCAAGAAGTACAGAGGATCATGTGGTAACTGTCGAGCTTGCCAGGGGTTGGGGGAGCCAGCCGTGGGGTTCAGGGGGCCTCCCTGTCCCCCGTGTCCGTCTTACCACCTGACAGACTCCAGGCTCACCGCCCTCCAGAACACGGGCTACACGTGAGGACGCTGGGCCGGCCTTCTCTCCACGGACCATCCTTACTAATCCATCTGGGTCCCAGGCAGGGGGGAGTGGTTCTTGGTACTTAGGGACTCGATCCTGTGGTTCACCTTTGGCCATGCTGCTGCCCGACTGTCCCCTCCCAGGGACTGACTCCTAGTCTGAACTCCCCTTGGTGGTGGACTCGGGCGTAGGGGCCCATCGCGGGCCAGGAAGGGAGCTGTCACAACCCCTCCAGTAGGCGAGGGTGTTGGCCTCGCCACGGGGGCCTTCCTCGCCCTGACCCCTTCCCCACACCCAGGGAAATAGCTCTCGATTTTTTATTTTTAATTTTTGGTTGAAATAAAGTCCTTAGTTAGCCATCTGTGTCATTTCTGGGTTGTATTTGGGGGGTGGGGGTGGGGGGCTGATGAGTCAACAGATGCCTCTGTCCAGGACACGACAGGCACCATCCAGAACCAGATGGAAGGTTGCGCTTTCCCTGCCTGCCGGTGGGAACCACCTCTTCCCAGAGAAGGGCTCCCCAGTTTTGATTCTCGCCCCCTCCATCAAGTCCACCTTGTCCAAGTCACATAAAAAGAAGAGCCTGGAGCCTGAATGGGAATTAAACCACGAGCAGTTTTAATGGTCTGGTTTTCTCTCTCCCATTTCCCCGTTAGTATCACTACAAGAATAAAGGTTTCCTGAGAGCCTGTCCCCTCCTCTCCCTGGGTCCCCCTTGACAGGACTCGTCCCTACCAACCCCCCCACCCCACCCCCGAATTCTGTGGAAAAAAAAAAAAAAGACACGTGAAAGGCACTGCAGGGGCAGGGGGCTGGAGTGCCAGGGAACGAGGGGTGGTGCCAGGGCAGGGCCAGGCCCGAGTCTGCCTGCAGGGGTTGGGAGCGTGTCCCGACTGCCCCAGCATTGGTCCTTCCCTGGACCCGGCCTCCCACCCCCAGCCCCACACGGGGGTCTGCAGCAGGAGCATAATTAGTGTTGGGCTAAGAAAGGAGGAATGGAGGGCCCACTCTACTAGGACCCAAGGGTCAAACCCAAAGTGGGGACTGCAAATAACTATAATGCTCAAGTTTGTTGTCTGGGGGTTAAGAGGAGAGGAGTCGAACAAAACGTGAATTAGAACGAACTCCCGGCCTGGAGACCAGGCAGCAGCAGTTGGCCCAGGCTCCCAGGGAAGAGGGAGGCGGCCGATCAGTCCAGGTCCGGGGCCTAGTTGTCCCCACTGCCTCCTTGCCGAGCCCTGATGAACGCCATGCCATGTGTGCGGAAATGGGTCTTGAGGTTAAGAGGGCTGTCACAGCTCTTGCCACAGACCTTACAGGTCAGTGGGCCTCCCGAAATAGGCAAGGGTGAATCTCCACCCTCTGGGTCAGATCTCGATGGAGGGGGTGCCTCTTCCTCCCCATCCCCCAAGCCCAGGGCACTGGCACTACCCACACCCCGTTTCTTCTTGTGGCTAATGAAGCGGTGCCGGCTCAGGGAGCCAGGGGAGGCAAAGCACAAGCCACAGTCCAGGCACTGCTGGGTCCCGCCATCCACCCTCAACCCCACCATGAGGCTCTGCTCCACCGAGCCGCCACCCCGGTGGCGCAGGGGGCCTCCAGACCCGGGTCCAGCCCTGGGGGGCTTGGCCGGAGGTGTTGTGCTGTCAGGCTCCTCACTGCACGAGTCAGAGGACTGGCGGCGCTTCCGTCCTGGTCCCTGGAGAGTAAGAGTGACTAGACTGGGCTTCCCCATCACGCCACGGACCCTGGCACCCCCCCACACCCACCCAGCTTCCAGAGGCCAGTCTACAGCCCTGCAGCTCCCACTCCCATGGCCCTAACCCAGCCGGGTCGGCACCTCTGCCTACCTGGGCTCTGGCACCTGGACCCCGAACCACAATACTCCCGCGGCCAGGGGACTGGGCCCCGAGCGGCAGGCCGTGCCGGACCTGGACGTGTTTCTCCAGGATCAGGCGGCTGCTGAAGGTGCGTTTTCCCTCTGTGCAATACCTAGAGGGGAGAGTGGGCGCGGTGGGCACCAAGGACACAGCCAGGGACCACAGCCCACGGCTGAGAGGGGCCTAGCAGGGCACAGGGAGGCCTCAGCCCTCAGGCCACTCAGACGGGAGGCAAGTGGGAAGGTCCTTACGGGGTGGGGGCCACCTGCTGGGCAGAAAGAGCAAGGGATGAGGGAGAAGGGTTACCTGCATGGGTAAACTCGCTTGATACCCTCATGGTTGACCCTGACGTGGCGCCTCAGGCTGGGGGCGGAGCAGAAGGAGCGCTCACACAGGCGACAGGGAAACTTTTTCACTGACTAGAAGGGCAGGGTGGGGACTCTCAGAGCGGGCTCCAGGACCCAGCCCCACTGCCACAGGCCAAGGTCAAGGCCAAGGCCAAGGCCGCCTGTCCAGCCCACCTGGCTCACCTTGCTATGCTCCTTCTTCATGTGAGCCACATATTCGTCACGCTCAGGGAACCAGGAGTGACAGAGGCCACAGGTCCAGCCTCCAGGGCCCCCACCCCCACCCTTGGTGCCTTTGCTGCCCAGGTCCCGCCGAGGCCGTTTGCTTGGACGAGGGGGCTCCGGGGAGCTGGGGAGTTCCTCCTCTTCTGAGGATGAGGACGATTCCTCCGTGGGGGGTGCTGCTCCTCCCCGAGACACAGCCAGCTCCTCAGGCTCAGTCTTGGGGGTCAGAAGGGCACCTCCGGCCCCTTTCGCAGGAGGCTCCTCCCCCAAGCGCCCAGACTGATGGGTGTTCTGTGGAAGGCAAGGGGATGGCTGTGGGGAAGGGCCTGGCTGTGCCCGAGTCCTAGTCTCTCCCCATCCCCACTTCCAGAAGGTTACGTGACCCCAGCACCAGGTCAGCGCAGAGGAGCACCCGGCAGCCGTCCCTTGACTCCTGTACCTTGAGATGTTCCAGCATGGTCTTTTTTTGGGCAAAAAGCAGAGGACAAGATGGGCACTTGAAGACGCTGACACGCTGGGGCAGCAAGTGCTGGTCGAAGTGTGAGGAGAGGAGGGGCTTGTGCGTGAAGACCGTGTCGCACATGGCACACTTGTAAATCATCCTGTGGGTGGAGAGGACAGTGCAGGCCCCCTGCCCGGCCCGGCCCCCAGCCCCCGGCCCACCCGCCTGCGCGTCCCCTCCCGGCTCACTTGGCCTGCTGCGTGTGGAAGCTGGGGTGCTGCGTGTAGAGGTGGGCGTGGGCACTGGGTGCAGACTTGAAGGCCATGGGGCAGATGGGGCACTTGTGGAAAACCTCGCAGTGAGACGTCTGGATGTGGGACTTGATGGAGTTCACACCCCCAAACACCACCGCACAGCTAGGGCACCTTGGGGAGAACATGGAGGTGCTGTGATGAGCCAGGGCATCTCTATGCACCCCCACCGCACGTGCCTCCCCAGTGCCCAGGTAGAGCCGAGCAAAGTGGACCTAGGAGGGGCTGTGGAGACCCTGGCCCCAAGGGAGGCCTGCTGAAGCCAAGCTGGAGCTCCAGGGAGCCCTGTCCCCCCTCCGCGGGGCAGCAGACAGGCAGATCGCACCCCGCGGCTGAGCAGGAGCGACGGGGCTCTCGAGAGGCCAGCGAAGGGGCTGGTACCAGGAGCCACGAGACCAGCCAGCACGTGGGGGAGTGTGGGGACACGTGACAGGAGCGGTGCAGGGCACCTGTATCCCACACGACGAGAGAAGTGCAGGCAGGCTTCCCGGAGGTGGGTCTGGAAGTTGGCTTGTAGGAAGTTGCCCCCGCACTCGGGGCAGACATGGGGGGGCCGGTTCCTGTGCATGCGCTGGTGGGCGCTGAAGCTGCAGCGGTTGGGGAGCATCATGGGGCAGGTTGGGCACACCTGTGGGGAAGGGGTTGACACCAGGTGAGGCGGGGGTGGAGTGGCCCACGCCCCACACCTTCCTAGATCTTATCCCCATGGCACCCGGCTGTTCTCTCCCCAGGGAAGGGTCCTGAAAGGCAACTCACATTGCTAGAGACTCCAGGGCCGGGAGGCCCGAGCTGCTGGAAGTGGGCGGCCATGCCAGCCTTGTCCCGGCACTGCTCCTTGCACTCCAGGCAGCGAAAGCACGTGTACGTGGAGGTGGCAGGGGCAGCAGGCGGCTCGGCTGACAACGGCAGCACAGGGGCCTCAGCAGCGACTGTAGTGATGGCGGGGGAGGTGATGGCCCCGTCACCCTTGCCCAAGGCGGGCAAGGCCGGAGGTCCAAGGGCAGGGGGGACAGCCAGCAGGGGCGTGATGTCCGGCTGCCCCACCATCTGGTCCAGGGCCACGGGCCGCATGACCAGGTGTGAGCACTGCATGACAAGCCCCTTGTCCTTGTGCTCCCGGGCATGCAGCAGCAGGCTGCACTTGTTGAAGAAGACCAGGCGGCGGGCGCAGTGGTTGCAGGTGACCTCGATGCGCATGCTCCTGCGGTCATAGTGCCGTGCCAGACTCTTCTCCAGGGAGAAGGCGTCCCCACACTCCAGGCAGCGGTAGCCCGTCGGAGGCAGGGCCAGGCCGGCCTCCGCCGGGGGGCTGAGGTTGGGCCGGTAGGCGGGCAGCAGGTTCTTGCTGTTCAGGATCTTGTTGAAGGCCTCCACCAGACTGGACTGCGTCCGCGAGATCACTGTGCCGGCCCCGGCAACTGGCGTGCTGGCCGGCTTGGAAGGCTGCACCATCACCACTGAGGCGCCGTTCACCTTTTGTCCCCCGGTCCCCAGCCCTGCCCGCCCCTCAGCCTTGGGCAGGGCTTGGGGCACCAGGCCCAGCACGTTCTTAGCCATCGTCTTAGGGCTGGTCGCGGTGCCCCCAGGCAGAACCACAGCTTTGCGGGCCACGCTGGCTGCCATCAGCATGGCAGTGCTGGCATTCTGGATGGTGGCCACAGGGAGCACGGTGCCCTTTAGCCTCGTGCCGTCACCCAGCTGGACGCTCACCACCTTTGGAGCCTCAGGGGCTGGGGCTGCGGGGGACAGCTTTAGGAGGCTGGCCTCAGCCAGGAAGGTCCCCTCGGCCAAGGGGGCGGGGGGTTCAGGGTCTGAGGGGACCCGGGTTACAGTCCTGGTGATGTTCCCGCAGGACGTTTTAATGGTCTTGATGCGCACCTTGAGGGGCCGAGAGGAGCTGGAGGAGGCAGGGGAGTCATTGCTGTCCTCGTCGGCAGCCTCGGCTCCACTAGAGGGACTCTGGGGACTTCCTGGGGGAGACTTGTCCACCGGCCCTTCGTCCTCTTCTTCCTTTAGGGGCTGACAGCTGGGCACTTTGGGGGAGGCAACAGGGCTCTGGTGCCCTGGAGACTGTTTGAAGAAGGATACCCCAGCAACCCGGGGAGGCGAGGTGCTGGCAGGGATGCCCGCGGCCTCAGGGCTAGAGCCTGAGCATGGCCGAACGGGGCCCTGGGGGTGAACGGGGCTGCAGCTACCCTGCTTCAAGGCGCCCAGCGGTGGGGGAGGACCGGGTGGCAGCAGGGCTGCGCCGTTCTCCCGGGCCAGCTCAAAGGGGGAGGGGAAAGCAGGTGGGGTCATGGCTCCCTCCCGAGGCGGGGAGGGCGCAGAGGGAGGCAGGGGGTCGGGATGCTCCTCTGGCTCAGGCCCAAAATGGGCGAAGAGGTCCAAGGGAGCTTTGCCTTCCATGGCTTTTTCTTTCCAGGTACCCCCACTGGGAGAAGCTGGAGAGTGGGGGGTTCCTGGAAGGGATGGCTCAGGGCCCCCAAAACCATTTTGCATCAGACGAGGCCCCACAGGTCCTTCCTTAGTCACCCCCCCAGCCCGGGCCCCTTCCCCTCCTGAACTTCCAACCAGGGACTCGGGCTGCTCGGGACACACAGTGTTCTTGACAATGACACTGACCGCTGAGATGTCTGCTGGTGGCAGGCCATGGTCAGAGGCCTGGCCTGGAACTCCAGGGCCATCCCCGGCAGCTGCTGCTGTTGCCTCTCCAGGGTCACCCTCTACACTGGGCTCTGACTTCCCCGAGCCTCCTGGCCCCTCGTTATCTTCTGGCCCAGAGTGGATGGCTTCGTTTGCATCAATGTCGGGGATGTCAAAGGCGGCAAGGAGGTCGTCAAAATCAGGGGTCTTCATGTCTCCCATGGCGGCGGGCCCCAGACCTGATGAAAACAGGAAGAGGGAGAAACTGAGGCCTCTGGGAGCAGGAGCCCTGGTCAGGGCCTCCACATTTACCCCCTCAGACGCCATGCACACTCCGACTTGGGTGCACCTCCACCATAGCGCAATAGCACAAATCCTAGAGATGTGAAGGCGCTTGGTTTGCCAAACCCTAAAACTGCAAAGAAGGTAGAGTGCACAGCACATTCCAGGGAAGACACCAAGATCCAGCGAAAGCAGAGGAAAAGCAACTTCTCAGAAATACAGACACGAGATAAGGGAAACAGAGGCAAAGAGAGTTCAGTGAGCATCTTGGGTGAAGCCACCTCAGCCCCTCCTGTGTCCAACACAGAATCAATCAATCAATACTCCAATTAGGGAGGAGGATGGGCACGGTGCTCTAGGTGTAAGGGCTCATTCATGGCAGCATGGGAGCCATTCACATTCTTCATGGATTTTCAGGAGGGTGCAGGGGGCATAGATCTGAAAAACCAAGTGTACAAAAGGTCTGTGACTTAAGCCAAGACCCAAGAAATGATTCTAGTTCCAGCTTTTTCAATGGCCTGCTGGATGAGCAAGTTACTCCACTGCCTTACTTTTGCTGTCTGAATAAAAGAGGGGGCAAGTAATCCATATATCACAGTGTTATTCTAAGCATGAAGTGCAATTGTAACCATGAGAGTCAGAACCCAGAATACAACTAATTACAGCGAGGACAAACAGGCCATGTCAGGCTGAGGAAGGGCTGGGAAGGAACAAGCACTGGAAATCTAGGGTTAGGGTCAGAGACAAGAGTCAATGGTCACTGTAAGGTCAAGTCTAGGGTACTTGGGGTCGTCAGTGGCACCTGGAAATCCAGCCTGGTTAACAGAGAGAAGTGGACTCAGGGAAGTTGCCAAGAGACCAAGATGGAATAAGACACAGGAACAGAGAGAGACAAAGAGAAGAGACAGAGAGGAAAACCGTGACAGCAGCCCCGTCACCAAGGCCCCAGCCTAGGCCTCTCCTGTCACCAACACCTGGTGCTCCCTCACCTACCTTCCCCAGAGTACCTGGCCCTCCCCTTCCCTCCCCTCCCCTTCTAGAGGCGAGGCCAGCCCCTCCCCCTTCCCCACCTTGCTCTCTCAGGGCTAAAACTCCAGGGGACAAGCTTATCCAGCACAGCTGCCAGAATGGGGAAAAGCCAAGCCCCTGACTCCCGTTTCTCCCCAAACTCACACTTCTCACCCTCTTCATTTTCCTTTGGCAACAGTAGCCCAGGAAGCCTCGCCCAACCCCAACCTGGCCCAATACAAAGAAAAAAGAAAAAAAAACCCGACAAGACTTATGTGTCCTAAGCCAACAAGAAGGCCAGCCTCGAGTTTGTGGGGGACCCAGGTCTGGTCCCTACCAGCTTCCCACACAAGTGTTTCTATATCTAGGAAGAAGCAACTGAGGAAGTCCCTGCCCAGGTTGCAAGCCATTTCCCAGGGCCAGTTCTCTCGCCCATTTCCAGCCTTAAACTGTAACTGGAGATAGTCCCAGCAGGTGGCAGCTGGCATTGCTGGGACCAAGGTGGAGGTGGAGGGAGAGGGTACCACACAGAGACAGAAAGGGCAGTCCTCCCCTCAGCCCCCCACCCCCACCCCAATTCTGCAGGCTCCGGGTTTAGACAAAGCCCTCCACCTCTTGCCTCTGCCTGGATGGATCACTAGGCCCTCCTCTGCCTGGCTCTCTCCTGACCTGGAGAGGCCTGAGCTACATTCCACTCAGGGCCTCAGGAAAGTGGGCTGGTGGAGCAGAGACCAGTGCCGACTAGGAGAAAACATCTGCAAACTCGCAGCCCCGGAGCAACTCCCCCTTTGGCGTCCAAGTGACTTAGAGGTCATCCGATAGCCAGGGGCAGACAGTAGACCAAGCAGAAGAGCTCAAGGCCGAAGAGGCTTTCCCCACCCCCGGCCCAGGCCTTTCTGCGGCTGCTGCGCCCTGTCTCTTGGGCTCCAGCCGCTACCCCCCTCTCTGCTCTTCCCCAAAAGCCAAAGGAAGGGGCTGAACAGGAAGAGGGTGAACTGGCACGGGTTGGATGGGGGCTCCACTGCCCTTTCCCGGCCCGGGGCCTGCTGCGTAGAGGAGGGCGAGGGGCCGGCGGCTGGGGGCGATTAGACTGCGGCCAAGCTGGGCAGCGGGCGGAATTAAGTCCCTGCCATCTGCCGAGGGCCGGCGCCCGGAGCTCGTCAGGGGTTGCGGGGAAGGGGCGGGGTGTACATAGAAGAAGCCAGAGTGGGAAACTGAGGCTTGGGGCGCTTCTCTCGCTCACACCCGCGAGCGAAGAGAAGGGCAGGCCTCGGCCAGGCCGAGCCCTTGGGGAGCTGCGGCGCAGCACCTCCGGGCCCAGGACCACACAGAGTGGGGGAGGCGCGTGGAAAGCGAGCAGTGGGGAGGGCACGGTCTTTACGAGACTCGCAGCTCTCGGGCCGGGGTCCGTCCCAACTCCGACCTCTTCCCCTCGCCTCCCTGCGCGGCCCAGCCTCCTCCTCCCAGGGACTCCCGAGGTTCCCTCGAGACTGTGGAGTGAGCGGGAGAAGCGCGACGGCGCGGGGCGCGAGCCAGAGTCCTGCCCGGGCCCGGACGCTGACCCGCTCCCATTCGGGGTGCAGGCTCTGCTCCGGCCTGCCCAGGTCCCCCGCCCCCACCCCCGGACACGGACACCATTTTAGGTCGCGACATCCCGCAGCCTCTAGCCCCCAGGCCGCGCTTCGGACGCCTCTTGGGCTGGGGGCGCCAGGACTTGGGAGACCCCAACCCTCCCTCCACGTTTACCCGGCTAGGGACTGTGCTTTCAACAGGCTGGGAGTTTCGCCCATCCGCCCCAAGGAATGGAGGCGGTGTCCGGGCCTTCTTAGAAGCCGCCCCAGGGGGGCGGCGCGGAGAAGGGGGTAGTTGACCAAGTGGGGGAGGGGCGGGGGTATTTACCCGCCCCCCGGGGGCGGGGCCAGGGGCGGGTATTTACCCCAAGCACGCTTACTTGTTTGGCTGCTGGTGCGGGCCGAGCCCTGGCGGTCTTTCCCTGCTGCAGCCGCTGCAGCCGCTGCCGCTGCCGCTGCCGCCGCTGCCGCCGCCGCCGCCGCCCTCCCCACGGCCGCCGCTACTTCCTGCTTCTCTCCCGTTTAGCCTCCCCCTCCCTTAGCTCCCTCCGCGTTCCCGGTCTGGGCTGCCCGCTTTCGTACTCGCCATTGGCCAATCCCCTCGTCCTTCAGTACTGCGCCCCTCCCAGCGCCGCACTGGGTTGGCCTTAAGTACTGCCGTTCGGAACTAGCCCCGCACAGTCCCCCCAGCCTCATTGGGCAAGGAATCTGGTCCTTCTGAAGATGCCTCTCTCCATTGGTTGTGCCAGGGCCCACCTGCCCATCTGTGCATCTCAAAGCGATTGGCTACCTTAACTGTCGTTTAGGAAGAAGCCAATCTGATTCCCTGTTTTCCTATTGGAGGCAGTGACTATCCAGGTGCGTCTCCGCCCCATCACTCCCTATTGGCTGTGATCCTTGAAGCCTGCAGTTCACTTATGCAAATTTAAGGAACGCTCAGTTTCTATTTAGTGAATACTTTGAGGGGAACCTCTTCGACCCTGAATGGACCCCGGATGTGTAGATCCGTTCACGCTTTCTCAAGCTAAACCCCAATGTCAGCCATGCCGTGCAGAAGTCATAAAATGGGACGTCACCCAAAACGTTACGTCATTTGACCATTTCCTCGTGGTTTTCCTACTGTCTAAATCACCATAAAATCTAGATGGATGGGGTCTTTGCGCGCGGGCCAGCTCCTGGACGATGGCGTCACCCATTGCTCCTCCCTCTGCGGGAGGGCTTGGAGCGGGGCGAGTTTTCGAGTGTGGAAAGAACCTGCACCTGAAGCCTGGGACGGGCTTGCAGGCCGGAAGTGGGGAAGAGGTGACGTTAGAGGGCTGGCGTGGCCTGGGCCATTTCCAAAGGGATCTTAAAGCGGCATATTGGTAGGCTTCCAAAACGGGGAAGTGGGTGGGGAGAGAGAGAGAGGGAGACAGGAGACCACACACACACACACACACACGCACACGCATGCATTTCCCATTTAAGAGCTGTCCTTTTTCCCTGTCCCCAGCACTGGGTGGGGGTGGAGTCGAGGCCGGTTTTCCCGCGCTTTGTTGCCCCGCCCCCTAGAGGCGGGGGAAGGGGAGGGATACTCGGTAAAAGAGTTGCCTTGATTCTCTAATCAGCAAACACTTGGAGAATTCGTCTGGAAGCTCAGGGTGCTACCTCGCGCACACTCTAGCGGGCCGGCGAGCTTCCGCAGCCTGCCGCATACGCGACCGCTCACAACTGGGGCATGGTTATTAAAAGTCGTTCTGTTATTTCTGCCCAAAGTGTCATGGACCCATGGACCCAGCACTCTCCCGCGCGCGCTGAGAGTCTGTGTAGGTCATAGCGACTGTGTTGAGGTGTAAATCAGAGCTTCTGGATGGGAAGCTTGGAGCCACCACTTAACCATATGGTTCTATCGGGCTCAACCTCCCTAAACCGCTTTTCTCGTGAGTAAAGTGGGGATTATAATATCCACCTGACATGACTTTTTTTTTTTTGAGGATTAAAAGCGTTTAGAATGTAAAAGTGCTTTGTAAAGTGATGGGCAAATGGGATTAGTAACCCTCCCATACACACTCCATCTCCTTCTTTCTCCAGGTCGCCTGCAGTCCAGCTCACTGCGCTCTTCATCTGCAAGCAACTAACCGGCATTCCATTCCCACCTCCTCTGAGTCTTCCTGTACGGAATAATAATTACTACTCATGAACACGTGTGGGGCCTATTATAAGAACTTTATGTATATAAACTCATTTAATCCTTATCACAATCCTGTAAGGGAGGAACTATTAGTATCTCCATTTTACTCAGGAAACTGCAGCACAGACAGATGAGGGTAGGGTGACTTATCCAGGGTCAAAGGCAGTGGAATTAAAATTCTAAGGATCCAGAAAGCTAAACACTATATTTCACAGATTCCCTTGCCAGGGAGAATTGGATAGGAATTTGTTCTTCAGTTAGATGCGGTCTTCATTCATTTAAGAAATCATTGGGGCTGCAGGGTGGCTCGGTTGGTTAGAGCGCGCGCCCTGAGCAACAGGGTTGGGGGTGGATTCCCACATGGACCAGTGAGATGCGCCCTTCGCAAATAAGATTGAAGGACAACAACTTGACTTGGAGCTGACGGGTTCTGGAAAAAACACATTATTCCCCGAAAAAAATACGTTCCCCAATAAAGTTTAAAAACAAAAAAGAAAGAAAAGAAATAATTCAACCAATATATCTTGAGCACCACCTGTGAGTAAAACACTATCTAGAGTAAAAAATTGTAGGCATTGGGGATACAACAGTGAACAAAGCACACGAGAATCCCTGTGCTCGGGAAACATACGTTCCTGTGGAAAAGACAACAAATATGATAAATACGTAAAATACATGGAAACATGTTAGGAATGATCATTGCCATGGGGAGAAAAACAAAGCAGGGCGATTTAGCCACAAAAAGACATGGAGGAACTTTAAATTCCCATTGCCAAGTGAAAGAAGCCAACCTAAAAGGGCTATATGCTGTATGAATCCAAATATGTGACATTCTGGGGAAGGCAAAACTATGGAGACAGTAGAAAGATCAGCAGTTGCCAAGTGTTCAGATGGAGGGCGAGATGAATAGGTGGAGCACAGGGGATTTTTAGGACAGTGAGATTATTCCAGATGATACTATGATAGTGGATACATTACATCACACATTTGTCAAACGCCCTAATGTAAACTATGGACTTTAGTACGTAATAATGTATGAATATCGGTCCATTCATTGTAACAAATGTACTACATTAATACAAGACGTTAATAATAGGGGGAAGGAAGTATTTGAGGATTCTTTGTAATTTCTGCTCAATTTTTCTACAAACCTAAAACTGCTCTAAGAAATAAAGTCTATTCAATTTTTTTTTAATGTGTGAAAACATAAAGCAGGAAAGGAGGATAGGAAGTGTAGGGAGGGTTGTGATTTTAGATATAGGGTGGACAATGAAAGCCTTTCTGAGTGGGTGGCATTTAAGTGAAGGCTGAAAGCTGGCGAGTGAGCCGTGCAGCTACCTGGGATGAGAACGTTCCAAGATGAGAGGTGGGAATGTATTCCAGAGAGGTAAACGGCTGGGAGGAACGGGCCAGGTCCTGAAATACATTGGGGGCTATTGGAAGGACTTTGGCATTTTTCTCACAGTGGGATGGGAAGGAGACAAATAACACAGTGGCCTGACTAATCTTTTTAAAGGGTTGGATGTGGGGTATGAGAAAATAAAGAAACTCAAAAGCTTGGGGCCTGAAGAATAGAAGAAGGACGTTGCCATTTCTTGAGCTAGGGAGACTGCAGGCTCTGGCGTAAGGTCAGCAGCTCAGTTTCAGTCCTGTTCAACCATATTACACATCTAAGTGGAGATTTACATTTGGGTGTCATCCGTTTACTGATAGAATATACAATCCAGGTGAGAGTGGATGAGATCACCGAGGGAATGTATGAAAACAGAAAAGAGGAAAAGTCCAAGGACTGAGCCATGGGGAACTCCAAAGTTGAAAAGGCAGGGAGATGAAAGGAACCTGGGAAAGAATAGCAGAGAGGATGAAGGGAACCAGGAGAGTCCAATTGTATCCTTGAAGCCAAATAAAGTGTTTCAAGGAGGAGAAAGAATGATAAACTGTCAGATGCCACTAAAAGATCAAAGAAGATGAAGCCTGAGAGCTGACCAATGGATTAAGCAAAATGGAGGTCATGATAAGGACAGATTTGGTGCACCAAACCCTTGCATGTGGTACATTCAAAAGAATGGGGGGAGGCGGTGGGGGGCAGAAGGGAACAGTGACTAGAGACAATTCTTTCAAAGGCGGCAAAGAGAGAAAGAGGATGGGAACTGGAGGGGAAAGAGGGGTCAGGAAAAGACTACTTCAAGACGCAGAAATTGCACTGTTAGTAGGAAAGGTCCTGGAGAGAGGGAGAAACTGATGTTGCAACGAAGAAGTAGAGAAACTTGGTCCTGGAGCCAAGTGTTTACAAAGGTGAGGGATGGGGCCTCGTTCACAAAGGGAAGGACGGGGGTAGTTCCCCCATATTAACAGGAGCAAAGGCAGTGAGTGGACGTGGCTGCAGAGGGAGCTGTGAAAGAGCTCTCCAGTGGCTTCTATTGTCGCAGTGTAAGAAGCAAGAGTGAGGATGATGGAGGGATTGGAGGTTGGAGGAGAGAGAAGACAGGAAATAGACATTCCGGAGAAAGGAGTGGGCTAGGAGTGGAGATCAAGGGCGGAGAGGCCAGGGGGTTGGAAGGCTCGTTTACAAAGAGACTGAAGTCAAGACTTATGATAGGTGTAGGGGAGAGTGACAGAGTGGGGGCAGTAGATGGCAGCAACAAGGAGGGGTGGTGGGTGGTATAATCGGAAGGTACTGCTCCATGAATGTGTGTGTGTGTGTGTGTGTGTGTGTGTGTGTTTGTATTTCTAGCTCCCCACAAGCTTCCTCATAGTCTTTCCCAGGCCATAGTTACTGCTATTCTGTTTCAATCACCATTGATTCGTTTTGCCTGTTCTTGAACGTCAGGTAAATGAAAGCATACAATACAGGCACACCTCATTTGATAGTGCTTTGCTTTATTGTGCTTCACAGATGTTTCATCTTTTACAAATTGAAGGCAAGAGCCTCCACCAGCATAAAGATTAGGACTCGCTATATCGTGGTGGTCTGGAACCAAACCCATAGTGTCCCCTGTGTATAAGGTGGGGGTTTTTTTTAAAGATTTTTTTTTGAATTGGGGAATTGGGGTAGGGGAACAGCATTGGGGATTCGGGGAAGGGGAACAGACAAGTTGCTGTCCTTTTGTTCTTCAGTCTAGTTGTGGAGGGCGTCGCTTCACTGGCCCATGTTGGTATTATCATTGCGCTCTTCCTGGGTGAGGCAGCTGCTCACCGGCCATTGGACGGCAGCTCACGCCGGCTGCCAGCTGCTCACACAGGCTGCCAGCTACTCATGGTAGCATATGGCAGCCCACTGCAGCCCCGCTGTAGCCTATGCCATTGCCGGCGACTTATGGCAGCCCAGCTCCAGGTCGAGCTGTTGTTCACCATCTTAGCTGT